GATCGATGCACCAGGAACCAGGCGATGATCGTTCATCTGGTGTGCTGCAGTGTGGACAATATCGATGCAGTCAAGAAACTTCTCACATATAGGATCAAAGAGCTGACAGGACGTCGTCCTCAGTTGCAGTGCTTTCAATTACATCAAAACGGGAGGCATTTCTCTTTTCTGGAACCTATCACTGCTCTGGCTACATTGGATGTGGTTCATTTCGTGAGGACTGCTCCAGATTTCAGGGATTCCGATGATGTACAGAACCACCCGACTCGGTGGAATCCACAGGCATGGTGACAGGACTCACTCTGCATAAAAGGTACGCTCCCGGACAGTTGCTGTTGCGTGTTTGCTTCTTGAATGTTTCTTGTGCATTTCTGTTGGTACACAGGTTCAGGACCCTCGGGAGGAGCAAGGGTTTGTATCATGAAATCTACTGGGCCCAAGACTTCTCACAAAGCGTTCTGCACCGATTGCACACCACTTTTAAAATCTGTCGGGATTCGTTTCTTGTGACAAAAGAAGACAGAGTCTGCTGCCAGTTCAGTATGCACTTCATGCACAAGGTGTTCGTTTTTCACCTTCTCTCTCTCTCTCTCTCTCCTTCTTTTTCTCTCTCTCTTTTCTCTCTCTCTCCTTCTCTGACATGTTTGTCTGCATGTTCTCACTTCAGGGTTTCATGCACATCTGTCGGTGTACAGGTTCAGGACTTTGGTAGAAGTAGTGTCGTCACACCATGGCTCGATACGTTCCGGAGGTCATGTCGGATGGAGGTGATTCTTTTTCTATCTCCGAGGAATGTATGTTGTCTTCTTCAGTATCCTACAACGATGCCTTGAGTGATGCCTTGAGTGATGTCGACGGCGGTGGCTTTTCTTCATCCTATATGCCTCAATGCACTAGCCCGGAGGATCAATCATTGGGTCGCGATTCGGACTCTGCACATATTGAAGGAACCCGGGATGAGGACCCAGTACAGGACAGTACGGAGGTTCATATGGCCGTCCCTGCTCCAGTACTTGAACCGCTTCCTAAGAAGCCCAGACGGCGCTTGCGCATGATGGACGAGGACTCTGAGGGCGTTAGGATAAAGATTCTTCCCAGTCCGCGCAAGAATTTTCGACGTAGCATGGAGGGCACCCGCATTCTAGGCGACGACTTTTACATTCCGAATCGTGCTGCTCTCATTCTCGGTTTCCTTAAGAAACACGGAGACCGCATTGTTAAAGAAAAGCCCGGACCGAAGAAGAGGTTCCGCAGCACATTGGATTTAGTCCGCCATGTCTTGAAGACAGCGAAGAAATCATCCACAGACTAGCCGTCACAATCTGCTCAGGTCCAGAATAAAATTGTTTTCGCTGCGATCTTTTCAACCTCTCTCTTTCCCTCTCTCTCTTCTCTCTCTCTCTCTCTTCTCTCTCTCTCTCTCTCTCTCTCTCTCTCTCTCTCTCTCTCTCTCTCTCTCTCTCTCTCTCTCTCTCTCTCTCTCTCTTTATCTTCAGCTTATGCAGCATGTGCACATGAGCTTTACTTGGTCGTATCTTTCAGGTTCGAGTCTTGTATCGTGCAGGCATACAGGAGCCATGGACAGTCAAATGATGAGGGATACCCAGTGGCGTGTGGATCAAGCATCTACCGCCCAGCTACTCGAGTTGCTTTGGCAGATCTGGGATCGACTCAATCGCAAATTCCGATTCAGGATGGACCCATTCGTTGTCAGCACAGATGCCAACTTTGTAACAATCGTTGCTGTTATCACAGTCACAGCCATACTCAGGAACAGCGACATGAGTGGTACGGTCCGCATTACTGCTTTCAGCACGATCAAGATGGCTACCGACATTTGTGAGCAGTGAGTTCCGACAGGTCGTGATGTCGCGAGTTTTTGAAAAGGACCAGTGCTTTGCAGGAATGGACAGGACTCGTGCTGTTCAGAGGACTTTCTCCCCGGACTGAGGGGTGTGTGTGTGTGTAAGCCTCGATTCTAAGCTAGAGGTCTTTGGCACTTCATCTTTGATGCTTTCCATCATTATTTCGACCTTTTAGGATGCAGGGGGCCAGCGCATGGTGTTGTGACGCTGGCCAACGAAGCTAGCAACACCATGGGAAAAGGTTTGGGACGCCAAACCTTGTACCTGCTCTAGGACCGGATGGCAACCAGGCCAAGCCAAAAAACCTGGCAAGCCGAACTGTGTGCGAGTGCATTGCATGTGCAGTGAGAATTTTGAGGGTTCAGGTCGCAGGCGATCAACCATATCAACCTATTATGACAAAACTGGAAGTGGTTGGTTGTGTCCTGATGGACCCCAAACTCCGTGTGTGTGTGTGTGTGTGCACGCCGGCGTGTGTGTGGGGGGTCCTCGTTCATGCACTTAGGGAGGCTTTTCAATGCCATTTTTCGCAGAGGGTGCAAGGGAGCTCCGTCCAACGAAGCTTTCCCCTGCATTTCAGGAAAAGGTACCGGCATTGGTCTGCGCCTGCGCCCGGTCGTGGGAAGCTGGGTGCAACATCATTCCTGGTGTCTGATGAGTCGCCCGTTTTGTATGCTATTTGTTTGGTCTGGCATACATGGTACCAAAAACTCATCTCATCTTCGTTTTCATCGCGGTCATCATCAACATCTTTTTGGGCATCGCCAACCATGCGTGCGCCTGTCCTTGAAGAATGTGTGTGCGTGTGTGTGTGTGTGGTCTGATCATCCACTTGTCTAGGTTTAGGGTCAGGCAACGCGACTCACGCAAGATTCCGGCAGCGAGGGTCTGAGCTGTATGCAAGTTTCGCGATGTAGGGCTGAGGTATGAGGTGGGTGTGACCTGTCGGTTATGCTGCAATGCAATATTTGGTAGATTGCAGCTCAAGTTTGTGAACTTCCCGCCTTTTAGGATGCTGTTTGACTCCCGCACGGGACAATGCATCGGGCTCTGATGCACAAGGGACAGGACCCTATCCCTGCTTGTGGTGCAGAGGACAGGACCCATATCTTCATTACGTTGCACATGGGATTGGACCACATCCCGCATGTGCCATCATGTGCCGGGGACAGGGGACAAGACCCAATCCCCACTACTTGGCACACTCGACGACGACGAGGACGAGGCGATTGACGACGACAATTCCTTTCGGCTTCCGCTTGGGCCAGTCAAGCAATGCGGCAGTTCGGTCTATTCCGGGCGCGTGGGTGTGTGTGTGTGTGTGTGTGCGCGGTCGGCATCATTTCTTGGGCTCATCCCACATGTGTGTGTGTTTTTGTGTGTGTAAACGCCTGGACATGGCGACCGATCGCGTGCAGGGGGCACAGGCCCGTCTCGGATACCTGTGCCAACGAAGCTATTCCAACATGGGGGAGTTGTGGTTTGATCAACCACAAGTGCGGCCAACCCAAAATACCCTTGAATGTGTTGCTTCCATCATGGGCCGAATCGTGAAACTAAGCCCGCACAGTTGCTGCAATCTGTCTTTGTCTCGTCTGGTCCGGTCTGTCTGACTTCGCATCAGTACGTGCAGAGCCCAAGTAAGTAGGTAAGTAGGTAGGTAGGTAAGTAAGTGTGTGTGTGTGTGTGTGTGTGTGCGTGCATGTTCATGTGCATCTGCGTGTGCGTGTGGGTGTGCTTGTGCGCGGCGGGGGGCGGGGGGAATGCAGAGGGGCGTCACTCGCAGTGTCTAGTGAGTCTAGTAATCGTATTGCAGTTTATTTCACAACTTTTTCAGGGAACAGCTGTGCTGCGCCCTCCTTAGCAAACCCAGTGCAAGGGGTGGGTTGGGGGGGGTGGTGGTGGTGGGCCGAAGGTGGCCGAAACTGCTCTCAGGAACCATATACAGACAGACAAGCGCCAGTCACCGTGTGATTGTGGAGGAAGTTCCGAAATGATTTCGTCGAGCTTCGTGAGTCCGTGGCTTAGCTGGTCAAATGATGCAGTCTGAGAAGATGCGCAATAGGGGAGGCAATGCGACCGTCAGTGCCCGTCAGAATTGCCAATCACCGAGCTGTGGCTAAAAATCTAAGGCTGGCGAAGAATGATTGATTAGCTTTGTGGTATCTTTGCCACCTGTACGGAGTCTGAACGGTCAGAAAGTCGAGTTAAGTGCATGCATGTGCTCGCAGATTGCCATTTGTGCCGAGCCTAGTTTGGATGCTTCCTTTCCGCTGGCCCAGCATCTGATTTTATGTTTGTCAGTCTGCGAGCGTAATCCACCCGCTACGCTTGCAAGTTGTCACATGCGGAGTGTCTGCCAGCAAAGCACTGGCCACGTTTCATGTGATAAAGCATTCCGAGGAGTGTTCTGTTTAATATGAATACGATCTCAGAATCCTAGTGCCTCATGCTCAGAGTTGATTTAGTTTCAACGGTCCTGAACCTCGTCTTCAAGGAGGCCCGGTGGTGGCGGTTCTCGACGCACTTAGGAATCCTTCAGCGCCTGCAGAGATCTCCACATCAGTTGGGCATTGAAACCTGGCACACACGCGCATGGGCACAAAGTGCACGATGCCGGTATAGCAACCTCTGCTGCAGTGAAGCTTCGGGTGCATCTCCCACAGGTCGTTTTCAAACTGTTGTGTGTTGTGTTCATGTTGAGGCCTGCGCCAAAGTGCGCAGCGTGCCTGAAACAACCAAAGTCCGAGCCTGTGAGTGCTGCGGCCTTGGGAGCCACCGGCCTTATAGAGGCTCGAAGTCAGCCGATTTACCGACGCCATCGTGCTTGGCATAAAATCTTTCTTCTGTAGGATAATAGTCACCGGTTGCCACTACTTAGCGGCCCGAAACCCAAGTCTAAGCCTCCTTGCCAGCAAAGCACACGGTGATCATAAACGCAAACATGCTCTTGTTTATTGTTGGGACCAGTGTTTCGTGATGTCATGCTGGGGCGTCATCCCATCCCATCCCAGTGTAGTCTGCTTAGACGTTCCATCAGTTCCATGACCACCGGGCTGGAACTTGCATGGCCTTGCTGTTGCGTCTTGCTGCGCATTTCTCAGCTCCGCGCGCCTGGTTTAAGACGGCTTCTGAATGACACTTGCTTGGCGCCTTGTCGGCATGCCGGTGTTAATCACCGTGTTCTTGTCCAGTCTATAAAATCTGCTCGCGAGTCTGCTGAGGCTCAGAGAGGCAGCGCTCGTGGCCGCCCATGCGCACCAAGAATCCGAGAGCAGCACGAAGGAGCGAAAGCAAGCAGGGCCTGCAGAACTCCTTTCCGCCACGCTGAGTCCAATAGACCCCACGCAGCCTGCAGTTTTCCCGCAGTCGTGAATTACCGCTGTCAGGACGTAGCGAAGCCGACACGCTTGGATCGGACCTGAGATGCGCGCGTGGTTTGAAGCAGTAGTTGTGACTTTCAATGCCCATCCCGAAGGATCTATCCTCTCAGAAGCAGTTCCCGCACGTCTCGTGGCAGCGTATAGCTGCAGCCTCGGATATTCTGGTTTCAACCTCTACTTACTAAGTCTTTCCGTACTTGCATTCTTGGTCAAGTTTACCGTCTCCAGAGGGGCGATACAAGCCATTCAAACTACTTTTCGAGGGTGGTCTGGACAGTGGATCAGATAGAGGAATTGCAGCTGAACGCCCGCAGTCATGCCGCAAATCAGTTACAGCCGTGCTGGAGTAAGTTGCATATGAGGATGACATCGGTGGGGGCCTGTTCATCTGTGGCGCAGCTGCTCTGGACAACAAGGCAGAGCTCAGCAGGCTCACAGAGACTTTCTCACGACGGCAGTCGGCAACCAGTGCACAGACTTCGGATGGCTTGGCGACTTTGGAGTATTCAAAAAGCTTCAAGCCGGGAATTTAAGCCTTTGTCGAAGCTGTTGAGAGCCTCTGCTTGAGCCAGGTTGGGCATAGGCTGCATCCTGAATTGTGGTGGTGAGGAGAGGTGGCCATGTGCAGCCGCTCTGATCGGGTGAAACACATCTCCAGCAGGACATCTATACACGGTCCTACAACTGTCGCTGGCTGAGAGTTACCTGCCGCACTACCGGCTGAGATGTCTCGAAGACTCTTTCGGCTTCTTCTGACAGTTGTTAGGCTCTCGTGTGAAGTAGTCTGCCGAGAGGTGCAGATGGCACACCCCTCAGCAAGCGCCTCCAGGGATTCCACGTGGAGGCATGTTGGACTGGGGCTAACAAGTCCTTCGGCACCTCGCGGGCTTGACCACTGTGTGGCATGTCGAGTCCACTTGGTCGCAACACAGCCATTGTTCATGTCATCGCCGTGCTTATTGAAAGCCATTTACTTGGCCACGATTCCGCGAAGCCGTCACTTGGCAATCGCATGCTGCAGAAACTCGAAACAACTTCCTGGATTCGTAGGGTGCTGCGAGCACGGGGATGCGCCACCGGCCTCGGACAAATGCTAGCAACTTCCTGCAATCTGGGGCCATTCTCGTCCGTGACGCGTCTGTGAGATCCGGGGTTATGGATCAAGAAATCTGGGTGGCAGTGCCGTGTTTCGCTTCGCATGCTTTCTCGTGACGCATGTTCACAGTCGCAGTTTTCAAGCTGTAGAGCTCTGCTTCCAAACAAGCGTTCAAGCTTAGAAAAAGTCGCTCCTCATAGAAGTCGTGGAGTGTACTAAAGCTTTGGAGCTTCACTCGCCCCAGCCTGAAGCCGTAATATTGCCTGAAGCCATGGGACCTCCTGTCAACATCCGCTGATTGTTTGACGTGTCACCCTTGTACGCTGTCGCTTGCTCAAAGCAGGGTTTTTGAGGTGGGCATTGCTTTATCAGTTCCTGTGTGATCCGACCCCCGTGCCGAGTGAATCGAAGCGTTGGATTCGCAAGTCTTCCTTCAAAAGCTTCTGTGGGCGGCCAGGTTCTCGATGCAGAGGATGTTGAGCAGCAGGACATGCGCAACTTGGACTTGTGATTCGTCCTTCCAGTCTCGGCATGATTGTCGGCCCGAGGTGCAGCATGGCAGAAGGCGGCCGGCATCATCGACGAAGCCTTGAGACGAGGCCAGGCGGCCCTGGGGTGGCCCTGGGGTGGCCCTGGGGCGTCCAGGCCCAACTTCAAACTTCCGCGGCCGAGGCGACGGCGTTGTTGTCCACTGCGCCCAGGGGGTGAGCCGCTCAAGCAGTTGCCGGATTGCATTATGCCTTGATGTGTCATTTGCTAGGGCACGTGCACAGCATGAGGTGTTGAACTTTGGCAGCCCTTGTTGGCGTTGTCATGTGACCTTCTGCACCGCACCCCCGTGAATCCACGCCTTTCTGTCATCCATCCCTTCCTTAGGCACTTGTATTGCGTACCTCATGATGAAGGAGAATCTTCCGTTGGAAGGGGCGTTCCGCCGTGTTTTCCAGGCGACCTTGAGAGAACTGCGGCTAGTGCGACTTCTAGTGCGGCTCGTAGGTCCTGAGCAGGCAAGAGACTACATTCGACCCAACGTCGGCTTTTGGCGTCAACTCCGAGAGCTGGACGTATCTCTGCGGGGGACTCCTGGCAGCACCCACCTGGTAGCACAGGTTTGCGGCCGCCTGTGATGAAAAGAGGCGTCCGTGGCAGCCTGCACAGCTTGATCCAGCTGGGCAGGCCATGGCCTTGGAGCAGCTCTCTTTGTAGAAGCTTCGCCTGTGACTTGTGAAGCTAGAATCGGGCAGGAAGATCTGTTGGCTAGAGAAAGGCTTTCCTGAGTTGTGCATATGACAGTGATACACAGTGATACACTATAGATATCATGCTTTCACACTCGCAGATGTACTCCAACATGCGTGTTTGCACTTTCAGAATACAGGCCACAAAAGCGTTCTAGACACCAGCTCTGCGCGAAATCTCGGCACTCCACAGCTCGAAACACCTGAAGCCCTTGCAGCCTCAAGCCCGCTGAAACCCTTCAGGGAGTTCTCTCCACCCTGAACCCAAGAAAGCCCCAAAGCCCCAAAGTGCGCCTTCTTTCACAAAAGCAGGAACAAGATGGAACAAGTGATTGCCAGAAATGCCCCAGTCAAACTCTCCAAAATCGTGGCACACATGACATCTTAATGAGTCGTGCCGGAAGAACAAGATGAGCAAGGACTCTCGCAAAAATTTCATTGTGCCTCGTCACATTCATGACTGCGCATGCAGGCCATGGAGCGTTTGGATGCAGAGCTTGCCGAAAGGTGCGGGATTTCTGTTGGCACTGGTCTCTTGCTACGGTTATCCGGAGACACTTCGGGCTTGACGCAGGCGGAGTGACTTGGCAGCTGGATGGTTCTGAGACTCTTTGGCATGGTGAGGTGCGTGCCTGCGGCTTCTAGAAGTTTCTGCGTATGATCTCAGCTCCTCTTACGACTGTGTGTCCAGGACGAAGTGCTGCAGAGCAAGGCCGCGGAGCACCGAGCATTTGCACAAACGACATGCTTTGTAAATGTGGTGTACAAACACAACTGGACTCGTTCCACGATCGCCAGTACGCACAGTGCCGTGGCTCCAGCGAGGCATGTTTAAAGACATGCAGTGGGGTCGCGGCAATCATGTTATGTGCATGCCGACGGACGGAAAGGTCGCCCTTCTCATGTCATGAGGCAGGCTATTGTCCCTGAATCCCATTATCCTACACCCAAACCCTAACACTCAACCTTGCAATCAGTTCTCCGCAACTCCTGGGCGTAATGGCCCTGCGAAGCCAACAAACCGCTGTAGCCATGCTGTTGGACGACAAGTGCTTGCCTACAGGATCCCCTCCTTTCCTCCTCTGAAGGAGATGGGAATTAAAGAAAAAGAAACCAAAAAGCGAAAGATAACGGCGGCTGGTTTATGCTTCAATGCTATGCAGAGCTAGTCAGCTAGCGCACACAGCCTGGCCTCTCATGCTGTGCATGAGACGGTTTCGATCTTGGTACCTCGTCGAGCTGTCCTAATTCGAGGCAGCTGCTGTGCGCATCTCCACCTTCGAATGTTTGTGGTCGTCCGCCAGCAGCTGCGAGCATGCAGCCATGTCCTGACAAAGTCAGCCCATAGAAATGCCCCATGTGGAACTCAAGGATCGGACCTGTCCTCCGTGACTGTTGCAGGAAAGGGCGGAATCTCAAGACTTAGCGTTATCGAGATGAACGCAACGGGTTCTCCCCTCGAGCTCTCGGGGCGATAGTTGCGTGCCAGCCATCCGAACCGAGTCATTTGGCCCATGGCCGTTCGCAGGTCAGCTCTGCTGAACTTCTCTGCCTAGGTCTCCAGGTTTCGTCCGGAGTTGGCACAGGGTCCGGCCCGGTTGCCCTGGCACAGAGGGCGCTGCAGGATTGGACCGTCCGGGATGAAGATCTCAGATAGACTGACCACATGACCCGACCCTGCCACTACTTCAAAAGGACGTTTTCGCGCCTGCCCAAGTTTCGGCAGCTACAGTTTTTGCGCGCTGTTGTACCACTGTCACGCTCAAACCTTTGCCGCAGCCATTAGGGTTTCAAACGCTTCCCTCGGGCCTTTGCTTGAAGCACTGTGCCCCAGGCTGGCCTGCAGCGAACATGGGGTTGATTGGTATTCCAGTTCTCTGCCGTTTTGCGGGACGTAGAGCTTGTGAACAAATATCCGCTGATCTGACAACCTTCATCGCTGCGTCGCCAAGGGAGAAAAGTACAGCGGATCTCCACAAGCTTGCTTGGGATAGTTTGTAGAGCTTGAGGGGGTGTGACAGCTTGACCCAAAACTCTCCCGGGTCACGATTATTGGTACCTCCGTGCTCCAGATGTCGAGGTTCGACTGTACAATGGCGGGACCAGGAACACCTGTCGCAGACCCAGTTAGTGTTCACTGACGAGGTCGCCAGGAATGAGTGACTAGATATGTACTTGGCTGGAACCATTTCGAAGCATATCACCGTGTGTGGCTCGAGCAGTTCTGAAACCACCAAAATGCTCTGGATAGGTATTCAAAGCATCAAGCTGCAAGCTGCGGTTTCTGCACTGCAATTCTAAGACGGGTTTCCGGTTCGGGCTTGGGTTCCGGTTCAAGGTTGAGCCTCTCGGTAAGTTTAGGGGAGTTCAGGGTTATCGAGGACTTCAGGGTTTTTACTTTTTAGGGATCGGGATCTAGGGGTGTAGGCTTTATCTTGAAAGGAACCTCAGAAAATCAAACGGAAGCAGAAAACTGTCAGGCTTCACAAATTTGTAGTTTTTTGCTGGAACATACATTGCACACACTTGCTGCAAAAACAGAACACGAATTTTGTTTGACAGCTGAATCAAAACATGGTTTCGCCAGGTCTGATAATGAGTTTGCAGGCTTCGGATCGTGAGCCCGAGCAATCTTGCCTTGTCATCGCCAGGTCATTCTTATGTGTGATTGGAGTTGGAAGTCAGCAGTTGCCAAAGAAGCCCTACTCCACACTTGGTTCAGGTAGTCCCCAATCGACTGGGGTGTGGTTGGGGTGCTGCATGAAATTCTGGCCATGACTCGGAGTCCTCTGCCCCCTTGCCCCCATCTATGTGCTGGCAAGACTTGGTCGTGCGAGCAACTCATGCAAGCAGATACTGTGCCACCTGGGCACTTCTGCCTGGCAAGTGAGACCCCCCCCCATTATCCGCTGGCCTTGCTACGAGGTGAATTCGGCTGGCCCCACACGCTGGCGATTGGAGCTTGGCGCCCAAGGTGAGCTGCCAGCGCTGCCCGGCGACCGAGCGCCTTGGACTCCTTAGATTCTCAGCTCTCAGTACGTCTCAGCAGACGAAGCCAAGGACGGTGTGCTGAGGATTGCGTGTGGCGATGTCGCTTGCGCCTTACACAAGTTGTTAACCCATGCATGTGTGGGTGTGCGTGTGTGTGTGTGTGTGTGCAGACAAATGACACATGATCTCGAGGCACGGGAGGCATTAAGCCACAGTTCATCATCATCACCATCATCGTCATCGTTAGCTTGCTTCATCATAACCATCATCATCATTGTCAGTATCAGGGTCTCATGGGTTCTGGTCATCAACAGATGCATTCAATCATGCATTTGGGCAGTCTGCGGGTGTACGGGTGCTTCTTCCATGAGCTGCTTCTCGCCTTGCTGAGCTTTTAGCAAGTGTGCAGGCATGTCAAGCCGCTAATCTTGATTTTAACGCTACGCCGCCCGCCTCGGCTCCTCAGGTGCAGGCGCCGGATGAAATGGCAAAGCCTTCTGTATCACTCAGGAAATCGGTTCAGGTCACGGCTATATTGAGATTTCTTTGAGCAGGACTCCCACGATTCAACAGGTGCGGGGGCGCCGTAGAGCTGATTTTTCAGCGAGACATGTCAGCGTGCGGCATGGAGGAACGAACAGCTGTAATGCAGGGTTTAGGGACCAGCATGCCCGCTCGCGGCGGGACTGGGCAGTGGGGAGGACAGGGGGAGGGGTGGCAATAAAAACAGCAAACACCAGCAGGAAAAGAGGGTATCGGGGGTAAAAAGGCAGAAAAATCAGGTAAAATGAAGGAAGCCGGGCAAGGGGAGCAAATGAACACAACAAACGTGTGGGTCGACCCAACACGCCCTCGGCGGATTTCTCGATGCCATCGTCAGTCGCAGATGCCTGTGTACTTTGGTTGGAGTCTTGGCACGAGCCTTCCTGGTCGTGCTGATTTGCTGTTTCTAGCAACGTTCCCTTCCTACAGGACCGGTCGCGGATTTCGTCTGGCATGCAATTTGCTGTCAATTGAAAAGCATGGTCAGCGCCCCCATCCCGCCCTAGATCTGAACACTGCCTCGATGCTGGAAGGTTTTGGCAGTTTTGGCCGCTGGCAGCGTCCCGAAGCTTGTTGCATAATCGGGCTTCGGTGACGATGGCATGCTTCGAGGCATGTATGCCTGTCAGTGGTGTTTCCATTCTATATTACCCAGGCTGTGCTCTCCTGTTGTCTTTATGTGTCGTAAGAAGCCTTGTGTTTCAGTCTCGCCCTCCATTTTGACAGTTTGGCACATCAATCCGTGCATGCGTCCGCATGGAATGGGCCAAAGGACGCTGTGGGGCTCCCCGCGGCTGGTGGTCCGTGACGAGCTTGGGGAAGAACTCGTCTTGGAAGGCAGACAGAGTCAGGACGAACCTTGCTACTCTCAACTGCTGCCTTGACGTCTGTAAACGGTATCCTGCAGCGGTCTTCGTGGCACCCTAGCCTCAATAGAAGTCGATTCCAAGCTGTGGTGCCAGAACTGTCAAGCATCCCTTCAACCTATGAACCTCTTCATTAGCTGTGGAGGTGATGACAGAGGACCGACTGCAGACTGGGTTGCAGAGTGGCTGCCGGAGAGGCGGTCTTTGTGAGCGCAGCATCTGCGAACACGAAGCTTGTGTCGTGTGTGCCAGGATGCAATCAAGTTTGCGATCGGAAGGCTCAGGTTGAACTCCAAACTGTCAGCATGCGAAAATCCTGCAGGCCCGGTCCATACGAAGTTTTTGTGCTCTACCCCGGCGTCGGGGAGAACGAGGAGCTTGAAAGAAGACACCTTCCGAGTCGGAGAGAGGGCCGGTATGGGCTTCAAGATGCAGGTTAAACTTATTGTTCGGGGCATGAGACGTTCGCCTGGCGGATCTGCAGCAGGGTCCAGGCAGCCGGGTAGTCCCTACAAGCTGGTAAACGATACAGATGTTCGCACTCCCCAGACTCAAGGAGATGCTTGATGTAGCCGCCCCAACCTGGCAACTTGTGGCAGCTGGGACTGGCAGGGATTGGAGTGGTGGGGCCTGAGTGCTGTATGACTGTCTGCGAGCATGTCGGCTTACGGTAGCGTTGGGTGTCTTTGGCAAGGCGGCTGCGCGCCCAGTTGAGGGTCGGGGTGAGGCCGGAGGAGCAAAGGAAAGAGATAGTTCAGCTACTTGTAGTTCGTAAGTGACGGCTGCAATAGTGGTAAACAGGTTTAGCGTGTCGAGATGACGACTCGTGCAACGCTTGAGAGATATCAAAATCGGGAGCAGGCTGGTTTGACATCTCCCCGACTCCCAAACTCCCAAACTCTCAAACTCTCAAACTCAAAGCAGCACGTCTTCAACTGTGGCTTGTGCTGTTGCCCACCACGGGGAACTGTAGTTTTGACTAAGCTTTCCCAGGTGGAGCCAGTTTTGCGCCGCTGTGCCCGCACTTGAGCCATCTGGAGTTTGAAAAGGTCGAACTGAAATGCTGGCAAGAGGCAGCCTTTACTTTCCTGTGCAACCCAGGTTGTAGTTGTATATATATATATATACACATACACACATACTTTTATGTCGATAGATAAACAGACAGGTAGATAACAGATAGATAGATAGATAGATAGATAGATAACAGATAGATAGAGGATAGAAAGGTAGATAGATAGAGAGGTAGCTAGATAGATAGTAGAGTCAAGTCCGTCGAAGTTCAATGCGAGGGACGATAGGGCCAGATGGTTGACATGTCCATACCAGCACTTGTTGACTGGTGGCAAGGCATCAAAGGGCAGCACCTCCCGTGTCGCTCCGTCGCCAGACCGAAGCATGGGTGTTGTGATTGCGGACGTTTTTGTCGAAGAGGAACGGACAGTGGCTCTTCGTGAGTGTTTGCTACTTTCTAGGGTTCGATTTTGTCGGCATGGTGTCGTCAGATAGATTTGCATCGTGCAGAGCTGTTCTGCCCCTTGTTGCCATGCTTTGCATTTTACTTTCTGGCGGCAGAATGGCCTTGGCTTGAAGGTCTGTCGTTCCAGCCATCCATGTCAGGTCGTCCAGCTCACCGTTCTCTCGCGCCTCGCCGGTCCCATCGAGCGCTGGCCGGAGACACTTGAACCGCAGGCGCCTGGTTGGGTCTTGGGTCGCAAGTTCGACTTGATGTCCAAGCGCAGAGGGCATTGGGTTAGAACGTCGATCTCCAGAGTGCAGGACTTCACATGTCTGCTCTTTGCTGGCAAAGTTGCCTGGTGACAACATGTCCTTCGTGTGGCAGCTTTCGGGGTTCATGCAGCGTGCAATTGTTCGGCTCAACGAAGCAAGAGCGACCGACTGACCCAAGGGCATGTCTGGACTTTTTCCGATTCTTCAAAGGATCCCCTCTGCTTTAGCTGCATAGTGACGGCTGTCCGAGCCGACATGCAGCACGACGAGCTTTACTCGCACATCATGCGGCGACGCGGGGGCTTGCAAGTAGCTTGCCTCCAAGGATGCATGCTTGCCTAGGGCCTAGGGTACGTACAGTGCGGCTTGAAGCTAGACCTTGACATAGCTTGCAAGGATAGATGCAAATGGTGTCGTTGTCACTTTGGGTGTCCATGCCACTGTAGATGTTGTGGATCCTCGTTGACGCACATGTGAACGTAGCCTCGAAATGATTCGGCATCGGGCAGCAAGGCAAAGACATCGGCAGAGGTGCGCGAGAGCGCTGGCGCCGCAGCGCACTTCCCCTATACTGAGGCAGCTCGGAATCTGACATGAGTTCACAAGATGCCAAGCTGAGCCTCTGCGAGCCTGTGAGCCATGAGGGTGGGTTTTGCAGCAGCCCAGCAGCTGTCTACTGGGCGTGGTTCCAGCTGGCCATTGGCCAGAGGTGATGGGTCTCAGTCTCCATACCTGAGCCTGCTTTTGTGGAACAAGGACTTTTCGGGCATTGGCCTGCTGTCATTCGATCTTGACTCGCACGAGATAACAAGATGACCATGCTCGGCCCTGCAAGCCATTGAAGCAGGTAGCTCGATGGTACAAGCCTGTAATGACGTGCAAGGCTTGCAGCTGCCGCCACCGCCTCCAAGATTTCCGTTTCCGATGTTCTTGCGGACCCAAGTGCCGCAGGCCATGGAGGGGCTGCAGCAACAGCTTTTGTCCGAATCTTTACGAGCTCATACGAGCTCCAGACCGTCAGGCATCATCCGCTTTGCTGAGAAGCTGGGGAGACCTCTCAGTGCCTTAGTTTGATTAACAATGTGCCGAAGTTTGTCATGGAGCATGGAAACTGTCAAGTATGCACTGTAAACGCGTCCTCCACGTCTTTGGATGCTTTGCAGCTGGTACGTCATGTGACTGCAGTGTGCTGAGCACGACGCAATCAGCTCGACTTGAGCTCTCCTGACTTTTCTTGTGGAGCGTAGCACATGGAAAGCTTTTCAGCCTCGCTCATGTCTCTATGTCTCTCCCAGTCTCTCCCTTCAGGTGCTTGCGAGAAAGCGCACCTGGCAGCAATTCCAGTGAGCCGGAGTTGGTTGCAAGAAGCTTTGCGCTGACGGTGCTGTCAGCGCGCTTCCAGAGCTTAGGTCTTCTTGAGGCAACTCATTGGCTCAGTTTGATTTCCACAGCAAGAGTAATCGAACAGCAAATCCCATCCTGCAACAGGGAAGTCAGTTTAAGGGAAGGTGTGTCGAGTCTTCGAGCGGAGCAGTATGGAGCAGTGTTGCGACGAAACTCCTCTCGATGTTTGGAGCCTTGAACTACACCTTTTTCTTACTGGTTTCCAGGCCAGATCGAAGAAGAGTGCTGACATGTTTCACGCAGCCGTAGTATCCTGGCGGAACCTTCCAGGAACACAAACGCGACCAACCTTGCAGCAACGCCGGAAAACTGCGCTATGCGGCCGTGCCGAGACTGATTGACACTTTCTCAATTGGCAGCAATCTACGGGCATTCGAGTCCGAGAGAGAGAGAGAGAGAGAGAGAGAGAGAGAGAGAGACGACCTTGTTCGCAAGGCGGCATTGGGTTACAACATGATCCACTTCACACCCATTCAGAAACCAGGCCTGGATCGGTTTCTTTCACTGTTCCGTCGGTTTCGTACAGCCGTGCCGTGTGAAACCACAACTGTGCAGCTGAGAGTGCACCTGTGGTTTTGACTGCAAGTATTCCTCGACCATCTTCGTGCAGAGTAGGCTTTCTTTACGGTCTGTTCAGCTACTTTAAGATAGTACACAAGTCCTGTTTCCCGATTCGGTGCATGAAGGCTTCATAGCTATACTATACTTCCGACAGGTGAAAGCGGAAGCTGCTATGCGCTGGACGACCAGGCGCGACTCTTTGACGGAGTTGAGCTGCTCTGGATGTGTAAGAAGTTGCTGCATTCAATGATAGAGATGCAGCCCTGTCTGGACAGGGAGATGTTGATCCCACACTCATGGAGTCACCACCGGCCGACATGGCTGGGAGGCTCATGGGAATGAGGTTCATGTTTCCACTTCAACATGTCTATCACTGGGCAGCTCCAGCGCTGGAAGCACAAACCGAATCTGTTCAGGTTTCAGACGGTGCAGAAGTCGGTTGTAGCTTGCCAGCATCAACACGGGCCAGTGTGGCATTGCAGGGCTTTAGGCAATCCATTGTCGAAAAGGCGGTCGACACTGTGGCACTTCTCAACATAATCAGCGCAATTCGGGAACAGCCGGATTCCACAGTTCCAAGGAACGACTCGAGGAAATGGGGCTCCTCTCTGCCATAGACATCGTGGCGTTCCCAGCAGATGCACTTAAGCCTCCGGCCGCTTCATTGAATTTTGACCTCGGCCTACTCTGAATGAAGGTGCTGAACCACTCTGCAGGCACGAGCTCGCATGTCACTCAGCGCGTCTTTGAAGCGAGACTACCGGATCCCTAACCTGTAGTTGTGAAAGTGAGTGAGCCTGGCATGCACGATGCTGCTCTCCTGTTACATGTTAGCAAATCCATAAACGGCGGCAGCACAGAGTTTGCAGCAGGCAGTGCGCCATGGCTCTTGGAGCACCCGGAGTCCGCCTACAGTGTGACCCGACGAGAATCGGAGTGACATGAGCAGATGTCCTTGTGTAGTTGGAAAGTAGGGCCCGATTCTGCGCCGTGGGCGACACTCCCCCGAAGCGCCGGCCGAGATGGTTTGGCTCTTGATTTAGATTGGGTTTGTGCTCACTAGCAATGCAGCATCGCAGCAGGCCAGTGCAAGCCCGAGTTCAGCCAAGCGTCACTTGTGTCGCTACTGAGTACTGTACTTCAGGATTGAAGCTCTTCTGGCAGCCAGCAAGCATCCGCAAGCCCAGTTTCAAAGAGGATTGAAGATCTTGGCCCCAAGGGCTTCTGTCAAGCTGCTGCATGCAACTGACAGACCCTCGGCGTCCGTTGCAATGGTGCTGGAGACATTATCCTTGCTGTTTGCTGCAGCTGGGGGAGCGGCTTATGTCAAGGTCGCGCGAACTGCCGGATAGTCTGGGGGTCACTGCTTGAGTTCTGCTGCTGCGAGCCCAGCAGTCCGTCCCGAAGTGAATGGGGACGCAGCTTCGCACCCTTCGAATTCCTAGAGTCGATAACCATGGACAGCGGCGGACTAAGCGCAGTAGATCCCATCACGCTGTTGTCAGGGCTCTGCAACCGTCTCCGACAGCCTTCAGGCGACGTTGTGTCGGGCTTTCGATCTGCACTACTCGGAGCCACTTCTCTTGATGTCGTGAAGGTGGAAACAGCATCGCTGGAACTGGTGCTTTCCCGGTTCGTACTTCTGAATATGCCTGGCACTGGCCTGGAGGTTCTGGTGGGCTGGAAGAAACAGAAGCGACGCGTCACCTGCAAGGACACCTCCGTGTATCTACTGTAGGGGATGGGTGACGGCTCATGTTCCTATCATGTTGACAACAGGACGGGGGCAGGACTTTGCTGGCATCGGGATGTCGTGCTGAAACAAAGGTGACGTCATCTGCTGGCAGAACTCTGCATGCATTCTTAGCTCATGTACGCATGGACCGGCGCTCGGCCAAATTCCTAGCAATTTTGAATCGACAGTGTTGCAATTCCCAAAGATACATCATAACTGGAGTTGGCATGGTCATGTTCACACTAGGTTTGTGATTTCTGCGCCGAAATGCTTGAAATCTAGGTTTTTGATAACCTCTTAGGTTCGGGGAGCTCAAAGCCTTGACTATTGGTCGAAAACGTTTGCGAAACGCTGCGCATGTGCAGTCGTGCGCAGAAGAGCCGAAGAGTACCAAGCGATTCGTCTAATCCCGTAGTGCGCCCGATCCCATCAACCATCTACCGCCTGCGAACGTATCGGGTTAAAGCCTGAGGCCCGACTATTAATTTATTTGTTCGGGGCTTGCAGGCATTTCATCGCGCAGGTATTGTCACAGACAATAACCTTCGCGCCTCTCCGGGCAGAAGTATTGAGTTGCCACGAACTCACGACCTCAAGAAGCTGAATCCCTCACCATCTGCCAAAGGCCAGTTGCAGCAATGACAGAATCCTTGGTTACAGCAGCCCAATGCACCCCGAGGACGGCGACCTCCCTTTCGTGGCTTGGTCAGATTCCTGACATGCATGGAATGCCCTATCAACAGAGATTGCCATCCAACGCAACTACAACTACCGGCATCCCGATCACCCAGGCAGAACACGTTTCACACGTTTCGGTGAAGATGGCTGGGGCACGTGTGGCATGGCATGTGGAACTAAGGTGGATGCCGGCTCCCCCGTCGTTCGCTGCTTCGGGCCTGGCCGGGAGCGCTGCGGCGAGGTATGGGTATGCGCTGCGGCGAAAGCCTGCATCTTTGGGGAGCAGCTCTGGGGTCATCCAAATTGGCAGGTCCGATACTTGGCGCTCTTCACGGACCAGCTGCTGTTAAACACGACTCCAGGGCCGCCAGAAGAAACAATCTCCATTGCAGGCCAGGCAGGACTCGCACACTTGAAGCAAAAAAGATCCTGAAACCAAGTGTGTGCAACTCGTTTTTTGCCTGCCTCGCAGTTTGCTCTTCCTGTAGCTGCCGGATTAGCCAGCGCTGTCAGCATTCTTTGCAATGCAGGTGCCGACGTGACACATCAGGCTGCGGTCCTGCTTGTGCAGCTCCCAGAAAAGGCATTCTCGCCCCTTGGAAGAAAAGCATCTGCTGTGCATGACTTGCGGAAGCCGGCTGCAGATGTTTCTGTCGTGGCCGGTGATGCCCCGGCTCTGTTCAACGTGCTCTTGTGGTATAGTCTGTTGATTTTTGCACCTGCTGTGGCTGCCGACTTGCGCTCAAATTGGCTGTTAGAGATAACATGAGATAACTGCCGAGTGCGGGCGTCGGAGAGGGTTGGAAAAAAACGTGTGAGATAACGTAGAGTTCTGCAGTTGAGTAATTGAACCGTGGCTCAAGCTCGACTCTCTCTCTCTCTCTCTCTCGCTCTCTCTCTCTCTCTCTCTCTCTCTCTCTCTCTCTTTCTCTTTACACTAGGTTCTACCACAATGACTATGGCACCGCATGCTATCGCCGGCTATTTGCTGGAAATCTGGCTTCCAAGGGGGTTGGACTCAGCGAGGGCCTAGCCGACTCCACCAACTCAGGAGACTCCTGGGCAGGACGGAGTTCCTCCCAAGGGTGCTCCACCAGGTTCAGAAGAGGCCCCCCTTGCGAGGTTCTTCTCTTTGATCTGCACGGTCATATTGGATCGCTCGGTGCCGATGGTGGCTGGGGTGTCTTCGGATTTGACGCAGTGGGTATTGGCCAATGGCAGGCTGCATCATTGTTTTCCTTTCTTGCACTTGGATGCATGGTCCACTGGTCTGGATTATGCGCAGCCGTGACGGCTGACTCTGCTGCTATTGCCGCCGCAGCGTGCACCCGAAAAGTCCGGAAATGGGAAGTGGCGCCCTGATGACATTCTCACTCGAATCCATTTCGATTGGAGCTGTCGAAGCAAGTTGAACCGCTCCCGCCTTTGGATCAAACCATCATAAACCATCAAAGGTCTTGGGAGCGACCTCCCGTCGTGTCATCGATGAAGTAGAGAAGGCTGATTGGGTGCAGTGGTACATCCTTGTCGATGCGAGGATTGCGCTTAACCTGGAGTCTATTGGCTGGTAGACCTCGAGGCTTACCGGAAGAGGTTGGCTTTTTCTGATACTTCTGCGTCGAGGTTGCATCCATCTTCCGGGGCCTGCCGTTTTATGATCCGACGCGGCTGCCGCTGCTGACGCTCACGGCGCGCCCCAGGTCCCCGTGTTTCTGCGAGCAAGGAGTACTGAGGGCTGGGGATCCAGACTCAGAGTCCGAGAATGAGGTCTCCGACCCTTGTGAGGCGGTCCTTCTGGAGGTGAGATTCGTGCTCTTGCTGCCGAAGGTTGCGAGGATCGGGCCGCTTCGGAAGGGACGGGTTTTCTATATCAGGATATCGACTTTTCAGACCTGGGAGGTAAGGATTGCGCGCGACAATCATGCAGTCCGATTTATCTTCTCTCGTGTCAGGTGCAGTGTAGATTGCTCATCGAGGTACCCTGCTGTGCCAGCCGCTGTGCAAAAAGCACTGAGCTGAGCCTGGCCACGGCAGTAGCCCGGCGGCAGCCGCTATCTGCTGCTCGGACTCCAGCTCTCAGGTGCACCCATTCCGCTGACGACTTGACCCTATCTGCTTCCAGATCAGTGGCTTATGATCTGTTTGAAGGCCTCGCGTTCCGCAGGTGATCGGGGCAGGCCCCGCCCTGCCGCCTCAGCTCTCATGACGGGGACCGTATTGTAGACATTGTAGCATCGCAGCAGGCTGCTAAGTAAGCGTGAGCTTACCCTTGTTCGCTGGCCGGTACTCATCACTGACCACGTCGCCCTTGCAATCTCCGGTGTTTGTGGGGTGGAGCGGAAGTACCTTGCTTGAGTCACTGCCGCCAGTGCCAAACCAGAACAGGTCAGCCTCCAGTACTTTCCTCACCTGGCTTCGCCATGCCGGGAATGCGAGGACTAACGGGCTTGAACATATTCCCGAGCTTATGAAGTTCCTCCAAGATCTGCAAGAGAAGCTCGCGAACAGGATGATTTTCACCTTCAGCTACTGCATGCAGCGGGTTCGTTGTGCACACATAGCATCAGGTTAGCCTGGCCCTCTGGTCGGGCGGGTCCGGTTCTGGGCTGCTTTCCAAGCGATGCGGCGTTGGGATGGGGCGACGGTCCGGAAGGTTTTCGTTTCTTATCTTGACATCTTGAGCCGGATACAGCAGTGTCTGTGTGCTTGAAACCGATCAGAAGGCGAGCGCTTCGCTCTTTCGGCCTCGGTGTGCCTTGGATGGTTCTTTACAGCTCTTTATGCTTCGCGCTTCTGAATATCTCCCCCACACTGATCTGGAACGCATCCGGGTGCGGGGGGTGGAGTTTTTCGGGAATGCGGAACGGTGTCCGACCGTCGCGGCTGACTCAGTGGCTGTTCAACTGTGGGACTCTAAGGATGGTCCACTTACAGCATCGGACTGAAAAAGGAATTCTCCCAGTGTTGGCTTTGAAGCATCTGCCAGACAGAACCCATCTTGGTGTAGGTGACCCTGCCTTCCCAGTCTGTGTTTGGTAAGGGTTTGAAGTGGCGCAGGGGGTTTGTCTCTGAGCTCCTCAGGCTGGGCTGCTTGTTGTGTGGTTTCGCGTAGTTTACGGAAGGGAGGTGCAACAGCCATTTTGTCCGTGACGGATGATGTTGAGATGTGACGAGGTTTGGTGGATGGAACTCTGATGTTGTTCATGCCCAGCTTTATGTCGACATGTCTGCTGCTCCGGCTCCGACCCGCCAAGGACATGCTGTAGTCGCGTCCGTTGCTGCAACTTCAACAACAAGCCCCAAAGTCCACAGCCCCAAGCGTGGGGTGCATCGATCTGTAGCTTTTCGGTAAGAACAGAGCATGGTGCAGAGCTTGAGTGTTTCGTCAGGTTGTCTTTTCGTAGCCGAAAAGTCGCTCCGACTCAACAAGCTCAGTCACAGCCATGAGCAGTCCGGCTCCCAAGAGATACCTTGGTGCTCCGCCTCCAACGAATGTCCTGGCCCCGGTGGGAGTGCACGGGATTTGCTGGGTCCGGGGCTTGGTTCGAGGGCATGTACGTGCTTTCAGTGGGACTTCTATGTGCCCCGTCAGAGGCTCCACCTGAAGATGAAGGGCAAACCGATCCAGTCGGGGCAAAGGATGGGTTCACCGGCGAGCCGCCGAAAAACGAGCCAAAGGCGAGCTTCCTCGGCCATCTGCAGCGCCGATTCCCAGCGCGGGGGCCAAGACGCCACCGTCTGGCTGCCTATAAAAAGCTCTGTGTATGCCGGGATTTCCAGGAAGTGCAAAGGCCACCGCTGAAGCCGATCCGGCGCCTAAGCAGCCAACGACGGATCTGTGCGAGGTGGGGGATCCCTCCAAGATGGCAATTGTTCTCGCTTGATCAGCTCATTATGTTATTCGGGTGGTGCTCGCGACGATCACATGGAGATCATGAGCCAGGTGCGACCCGGGACACCGACATGGGCAGCGCCGAGCCGGCGGGAACCCGCAGTTTGCCACTTGTTCTTTTTGGTTTTGGTATGGTCAAGATCGAAGAATAGGCAGAACTTGGTTGTTAGAGAAAACGTACAGTTCTGCCGTTGAGTACTTGAACCGTGGTTAAAGCTCGGCTCAAGCTCTCTGTCTTTGCCCGCACGCCCAGCTCTTTGTCTTTGGCCCGTGGTGTGGACAATGTCGCAACGAACGTCCCAACATCGCTCCAATCACAGTCGCGCCGAATGTGGCGCTCCGCCGTGACACTGCTCGTCCACCCGTCGCAGCAAAAACTGCCGTGAGTGCTCCACTTGCTCCCCTTGTCGCAACTGACGTTGTTGCTTCCCAGGCTTTGGTTCGAAGATGCAGAGGACGAAGTATAGGGAATGCGAATCCGCAGAAACGCGCTTCACAGTGGCAGGAAGCGGAGTACTGGGCCGAGAGTCTGGGATTTGCCGCGGGCGCTGCTGCCCCGTCGGAGGCACAAGCACGGAGCCAACCCAAAAGATCGGGGCCAAAAGACGAGTTGTCTTCCGCCCTGAACCAAAAAACAGTATATATATATATATATGATGCAGGGCTGCCACACCCAACGATATATATACAGACACATAATTATGAAGATTATCGTTTGCCACAATGTTGGGTAATATCAGCTGGAAAACAATACATGCCGCAGAACATTCCATAAACGCACTTGTCAGGAGGAGCAGCTGAAGCTGGAAGGAATGCACAGTTCGAAGGCCGGGGTCATTTCATTGGACAATTTTCGCAGGTCTTGCCGGAGCTTCAACACTCTGGCAGGGCAGAGGGGCACAGGGCCGTTTGCTCCAGGTCCAGGAGCTGGAAAACCGCGTCGCGGCTGCTTTGAGGGCAGCCTACGACCGATCAGCCCGCATCAAGGCTGGAATCTCTGCTCTTTGCCCAAGCTTAGAGCCTTACGGATCAGTCCTTTCGTTGCAGGAGCTGGAAGATACTATCGAGTCGGGCAAGGCCGAGAACTCGCAAAGCGGGAAAGAATTGTACTTGTTGTCTGGGTTTAACTGAAATTTCTGTCAATGGCCCAGAGGTTACGTCAAAAACAATTCAGTACTCATGAGTTTCGATGCAGGAGCGCGAGATTCGCATCCAGCAGCTTGAAGAGGTGCTGCACGACACCCTTGAAGAGGCAGCGAGAAGGTCGCGTAGTTTGTGTGCCGCCTCTTGCTTCGTGTCTTGCGATGCAGGCCGAGGCACGAGCCGAGCGCATCGAGGCAAGGATTGCGGGGCAGTTGAGTGCGGTTCGTGGAGCTGGGCCTCTGCGAGCCTTTGCCGCACAGGCTTTGGAGTGGCAACTTGACTCAAAGGACGGAGTCTCGGATCCGGCCGCAACTGCCCTGCTGCAGGACGGTGCTGTGTACGTGTAGGGATGTGCAGCGGGTGGGGTCGGGTCCAAAGTTCGAAGCTCGCCAGCGGCCGCTGGCGTGGCATCAGGGGAAATGCGGTGCTCAAATGAGCCGTGGATCTTGGACCTGCACTTGGCAAAAGTGCAAGGACGCGATGGACTTCGCGGATGAACTCCTCGAGCAGCACTCCGACATGTGGACAGACCCTGGCCCTGGCTGCATGGGTGCAATTCGAAAAGAAAAGATCTGTGGCCCGAGGAAGATGACAGCGCGGCCCAACTCAGAGAAGCCGTGCAGGCGTGGCACCGCGAAGTGAAGGACATGTTGTCCATTGCTCTGAGCAGGTCTTGGGAGTTCATGTGGAGTTGTTTTGTTGTTTTGGATTAGATGCGTCCTCTCACGACCACTCCTCGCTGCCAAACCTGACCAGACTGCTGGTCGAAGGAGGCATGCTTTCAGGGTTGCACTCGCGAAACGGAATCGCAAAGCGCTGCGGCGAAGCTGGAGTGTCAGCGGTTTCCAGTGGTCCTCCTCGCCTTCAGGTAGATTAATCAGATTGATCCAAAGAAAGGGGCGCGTTTCCTCATCGTCCTCAATGCTAGGAGAGCACTCCTCCGGAACACCGTTTGAGGTTCCGGAAGTCTTGGCTTCGTGCGACTGGCTGCAGGCTGTCCAGAAATCGAAGCCCGGGATCGACTCGGAGGTTGCCGAGCTGATCCGACAGCCACATGACCAAGATCAAGACACGACATGGAATCGAGCTCGTTGGTGCGTAAGCTTTGTTGGGTTTCTAAAAGGCTTGTCACGGCGCTGCGCTGGCCCGTGGTGCTGCGTGAGCGCCTCGCGGATGCGGAGGCCGCAGTGTCGCGTGGCTGGAGAGGCTGCGCAGGAGTCTGATGTGGCCGAGTCGCCGGACAGTGTCGGCTGATTCTGGGATCCAAGGAAAGAACAGGAGGAGATCCAAGAGCAAGCCCTCCGCGAAATCGTGGACCTGCAGAAGAAGTGTGGGATTCCCAGTTGGGGCCAAGCCAAGCCTTGTGCTTATACGCTTTCGTAGGCTTCGTCTGGTAGTCTGCCGGCAAGGTGACACACTGGAGTCCGAGTCGCAAGAGCACCAGGAGGCACTCAAGCGTGCCCAAGAGCAGAAGGTGGGGCTGCAGGGGGTGGCTATGATTTTGATGTGCCTGTCGTCACTCCACCGCCCACGCCCGCTGTTAGGGTCAGTTAGTTAGGTTTCTGCTTGTTGAGTGATGCACATCGCATGACCTTGCTTTTGACATGTGGGCACAGCACCGTACCGATCCGAGATCTTAGAAGCAGTTTGCCTGCCATCAGTCGTCCAGGCGCTCACGGAGGCGGAGCATGAGCAGGACCTGTGCCTTCGGCTTTCCGAGCAGCCAAGCAAGCACATACCTGCACTGAAATGTCCGACTCAGCAACATGCATGTCCGAGCTCCGGGACTCTGTTCTGCCAGGAGCTGCAGAAGCTCAAGGAACGGGAAGAGGAGGCAGAGAAGAAGCGCCATGAAGCCGAGGCCTGGGCTTGGGCTTTCTCGTCGTCGAGCAGAGTCGATTCCTGATCGCAGGAGAAGGCCCAGGAACTTCGTGAGCTGCTCGACTACGCGGACCAGGCAGCAGAGGAGGCCGGGGATCGCTGCAAACACGTAATGTCAGTTCCAAGATGCAAGCTGCTCGCAGTCAAGGCCATCCGACGCAAGCGCGAAGAGCTGGAGAAGGCTCATGCGGAGGAGACGTCCATGATCTGAGTATCGGCGTTGAGCTTTTGGGCTTGCAGTCTGTCTTTCTTTAGATGAACCCGGCTTGGTAGGAACTGTCCCAACTCCGGCAGCTGACGGAAGTGGCAGATGCCCAACAAAAAGAAGCACACGACAAGGCCAGACATCACGGGTCTTATGGCCGTCGCAGGACCAGAAGATGCAATCAGATGTTGGTGTGCTTTTCAGGCCGTGGAGCTGCATCAAAAACTTCAAGCCGCAGAGGCGGCCATCGATGCGAAAGCAGAGAAGGAGAAGGCTCGTAGGGAAGTGCAAGGAGTTTTAGACAGAACTTCTGACTTCTGATCCATGCAGTCATCATGCAGTCATGCAGCGTGCCGTTGAGCGAGGAGCGGCTCAGCGCCCAGCACGACGAGGCTGATTTCAGTTCTTGAGAATTCACAAGATGCGAAGTGCCCCCGCGTTGAGAGTGTTAGAATTAGAAGAGGGTTGAGAAGTTGACAAGCTCTGAGAAAGCAAGGGAAAGAAGCCGATCACGTCCCGCCGTTTGTGCATAGTGACGTAGTGGCTCTGCAGTATGCCGGCAAGCAGAGCAGCAGAGCAGTTCACGAGAGGAGATCGCCAGCCTGAAGCTGCAGATCGCTTGCGCGGAACAACAGCGCGACCGAGCCCGAGAGCAGGCTTTGAGCCTGAACCAGCAGTTGGAGGCCTGGCATGGCCTGGCCGGCCCCGCCCGCCCGTCCGGCAAAGCTGCAAGAGAAGAAGTTCAGACTTGCCGAGCTCATCTCGCGGAGGACTCGCAGGTGCAGACCGATGAGCTCGCACAGCTCCGCGAGGAGCGCGGGGAGGGGCACGGGCTTTGGCTGTGCTCTGCCTTGCCGCACGGGCTCAGGCCTTGGAGGAGGCGCAGAGGACGTCGGCGTTCGACAAGGACGCGCTGCAGCAGCGGGAGCAGCAGGACAGAACTGCCCTCGGTTTCCACGCACAAGTGAAAGAGAGAGAGAGAGAGAGAGGGAGAGCCATGTGGAGTAACCCCTGCAGCATAGCCCTGACGAAGGAAAAGAGCGAGAGCCATAAGCAAAGAGCGAGAGCCAGGGGAGGGCTTGCCTCCTCTTGGCTAAGTGCAAGCAAGAACGAGAGAGAGAGAGAGAGAGAGAGAGAGAGACAGAGATGGAACGCCAGGGGTTTTTGGCCCCCATACCCGTCAGCAAGCAAGCAAGCAAGCAAGCAAGCAAGCAAGCAAGAGATGGAGCACCTCCTTGCTGAAGAAGGGGTGCCCACTGTTCCTTGGTATGGAAGTTGAAGTTCACCGATGGCTGATACTTGAGCAAGCGTGCAGATTCAAGGCAAGAAAGCTGGGGAACAATACTTGATCGTGGCGTTGAATGTGTGCATGTGACCGCGGGGCACCAGCTTTTCTGCCAAACCTACCTAGTACAGCTGAGCCCATCCAGTCAGAAGGACCGGATGGGGCCGCTCCCCGGAGCGAGGGGTGGGGACTGCCCACTCCTCACGCCCCAGAGCACAGCAAAGCAAAGATGGAGTATTGTGCGCATTGTTGTACCCTTGCGATACATCGGCGTTGGGGGGTGTCGGCAACAGACAGCCGGGTGCACAAAAGACTTTCCGTCTTGGTCTTGGGTTCCGAACTTCCGCGTCCTCATCTGGCCTGCATCTGGAATCAGGAGCGATCCTACCTGGAAGAGCTTGAGCAGCGACTCGGTTCTCAGTTACCTGCGTTTCTACGGAAACTGCCACTGCATAAGTCTGTCGAGAATCGCCGGGCGCGGGGTCCTCTGTTTCCTCAACACATAATCACATACTGCAGCCAGGCTTACGTAACTTTCAGCAACTTCCTCTGGTGGCCGCCCTCGAGTATTGTGATGATGTGTAGCCCTCCTGACAGATGGTTCAAATTTCTCAGGGATCTTGATGGGCTTTTTCGGGTGGCTTGGAATGCTGCAGCACGCCGCATGCTCTGCGGATGCCCCTCCTCATCAGTCCATCGTTTCACTTACGTGTGTGGTCGCCAAGAGGCATGGTAGGACTAGAGTCTAGAGACCTTGGGTTGGCCAACAGGACCGAAGGCAGGGTCATGCCTTGAGCTCAAGCCGCCTTTCCGTGGTGCAGGGGGGGCTCTGAACTGGATGGCAGGCAGTTCTTGGCGAAGACGCGCAAAATCGCAACAATTAGCACGGTTACCAGTTTCGGGCTACCCCAGCTACAACTTTGAATTTGTGACCGACTTACCCACAGCAGACCTGCAGTTTGCCCAGCTCATTTCCTTGACCTCGCGGCGTGCGTCAAGAATCACCAAAATCAGCGATGACCGGAACTTTTGCCGCCTCGTCCGGTTGCGCACGGTGTCCTCGAACATCGTTAGCTTCTCCAATAGCTTCCTTCTGTCGCACGAACAGAGTTAGTCAACCCAAGGGGATTGTTTCAGTTCCGATATCGACTGACTCCGATCAACTCAAGGGAGCAGGCAGCCTGGATTATGAGGTAGTGTCGGTGCAAGATTTGATGCACAGAAAGCCAGACTTGATGTGGCTACATTGCTCTCGGCTGTCGCAGTGGAGCTAGAGGCTGAAGCGCAACCGCGAAGCCACCGACAAGCGCCGGGCAGAGGCAGAGGGTGACCTGTTGCCCGGAGGCTTTGGCAACTTTTTCTTGGGACAGTTCTGTTAAGACCAAACTCACCTGAAGAAAGCTAGCCACAGCCAGTCTATCTTTGGGGCTTTAGGATTGATACCTCGAGCGGCTCTGACGAACACCTGCTCAGAGACTGTCCGACTCCTTAGGTGCATTCGCTTGGTCCATGTGTGTTACCCTGACAGCGGAGGAGTGAACTGCGAGAGATGCTGGCTTCGGCGCAGAAGCGAAACGATGAGGCTGGGGAAACTCAGAAGGAGCAAGCAACGCGGCACGCCATGGAGGCAGGGAGTGCATTCACCAAGTGGGCAGTTCGAGATCCAAGTCGGCCATTTCAGCTGTTCGCGAGTAGACCAGGTTCGGGGCTTGCAAACGCGTTGCGAGACGGCGGAGGTTCAGGAGCTCTGAGCTATGGCCGATTGCACTCACCAGCCAGCTGCATATGCCGCGACGCCTTCCACGCCAGGAGCAGCTGGCTGAAGCCAAGGCCCAGAAGCTCAAGGACCGTCAGCCGTCGTCTGCTCAGCACCTCGATCACCACGCACGCCTACGGCCTACGGTCGTGGAAGGAGAGGTTGGTGACCGAGCTCCAGGCCGCAGACGAAGCAGGGAGCAAGCAGCTCCTTGGGACTTTCTTCAGGACATTTTCTGGTGCGATAGTTTCGCCCGTCGAAACCTCTTCTCAATCAGGCACCCGTCGTAAGTTCCGGGCACCGGATTCGTGCCAGTTCGAATTACGAGGGCGGCAGGGGGCTGATTGGCATCTGATGCCGCTGTTGGGTAAGATGGACTGATGCATGAGGGCCGTCCAGGTTTCAGACACGCGTTCCTCGCAGATCTGCCGTTCCGTGTTTGCAGTTTCATACAAGGCAAAAGCAACTGGAGAAGGAGCGCGAGAAGGAGCTAGAGGTGCCCTGCAGCACTCCATCATTGGACAATTTCGAGTTTCCTGCGTTGTTCGACATGCGTTTCCTCCGAGGATGTCCGACAGCAGCAGCGCGAGGCACGGGTTGGACATCGAATTGCGACCGGGGACTGGTAAAATCCTCTCAGCACCAGGGGCTGCTCTGTGATGTTTGGGTCCCGTATGTGTTGTGGTGGAGGCGGAAACAGACCGGAAGGCTGCCGACGCGCGGGCAGAGGCGCAGCGTGTCGAAGTTTGGCACTGCCCCGTGACCCCTGAAGCTCTAGCGAGATGTGCCCCGTATGCCCATAGCGGAAAGACAGGAGTTGAAAAAGAAGCTCGAGGAGGCGGAGCGGCGAGCATTTGAGGCCTCAAGCACGACTTCTTTTCGAATCTTCAGTCCTAGCCGTAGCGTGACTTTGCTGCCTCTGCTGTGTACGTAGTACCAGTGCCTTGCAGATGCAAGCGTGTTCGCACCCACGGTGGATCGAGCAATCAATCAATCAGTCAGTCTATCAATCAATCACTTGGTACTTGTACCTCTAACTTCCCTATTGAAATCCGCTGCCGACGAGGCGACAAACAACATGCCGGCAGTAGCTTGACCTGTTTGCATGGCAGTTTGTGTACGATGAGGTAGCCGACGTGGTCCGCCCATTCCACCCGACGTGTAGCATTCATTCGAGCCGGCGCCAATTGACAAAAAAAAGGCGACGGCCCGGCAAAGTTGCTGATGTGTTTTGAAGGCGGCGCACCACCAGAAAGCCAATGTGGATGCTGCGAAAGAGGAGGAATCCCCGGTCCATGGGATTGCTCGGTTGCTGAACTCTTCACGACACGAAAAAGTCGGAACTCTGCCAATCATGCCTCTGGAAGGAGATATGCAAGCTACGACAACAAATGGAGACTGCCGAGGAAAAGGCAGCACAAAGATCATGATCGGCCCAAGAGAGGGAGGATGGCAGGTTTTGTTTTGGTGGTCTATGCTCCGGGCCTGTGTCTGTAGCAGGGGTGCCAGGTTTCAAAACAGACACAGACACGGACACGGACACCGACAGACGCAGACACAGACACAGACACAGAGACACACAGACACACACACGGACACACACAGACACACAGACACACAGACTCAGAGACACACACTGACACACAGAGACACACAGAGACACACGGAGACACACGGAGACACACAGAGACCCACAGAGACGCACAGAGACGCACAGAGACGCACAGAGACGCACAGAGACGCACAGAGACACACAGAGACACACAGGGACACACAGAGACACACAGAGACGCACAGAGACGCACAGAGACGCACAGAGACGCGCAGAGACACAGACGCACAGAGACACACAGAGACACACAGAGACACACAGAGATGCACAGAGAAACACAGAGATGCACACAGACACACAGGGACACAGATGCACAAACACATAGACACACTCAGGATTTGCATGCTGGATTGCAACTTCTGGCCTAGCCTCCGAACATGTCGAGAGTTGTGGCGAGCTTCCAGCTTTGAGCCACGAGGCGGACAAGACGGAGGCCCAGGCCAGCCAACTCAGGGAGAAGCTTGCTATGGCGGAGGTGTCGCTAAGCGAGGCCGGACCGGAAACGTTCGATTCGAGAGCATTTTGACATGCCTGTCGGGAACAGAACCAGAACAACCAGAAAAAGCCACCACAACCACCACAACCACCACATTCTCCACGCAGCCTGCGCACAAGCCCTTCACGACCCACCACAACCCCACCATGACTAGCCCACCCATTCTATCATCATCCTTGCTATCATCGTCGGCGTCGTCGTGCTCGTCACTAGGGCCCAGAACTGCATCAGTATATGCATCTATAGCAGCATGCATATGATCCCTCATTTGTCTGGTCTGTGTCATCCTCCGTCCGTTGTTCACCGTGCTGAACTGATTTGGCTTCATGCGTACACTGTCTTTTGAGATGCTGAGTGGCCGGCAGTGGCTTGAGGAAACCCCTCGTTGGCCCAAGCTTGCTTTTGCAATCTGCGAGGAGGCACAACGGCGAATCGACCTGATTGAGCAAGAGCGCTTGCGCAGTTCCCTGCTCACACAAGCTGTAGAGCATTGCTGCGTGCTGCAGCCTTAACATAAATCTGCGGAGAAGAAATATCTCCAGGTTTGGGAACCGAAGCAAACGGCAAGAAGGTGGGGCACGTTGTTGTGCGTGCTCTCGTTCTCCTTGGAAAAACGTGTTTTGGAGACGGTGGACGATGCGGCCACTCGCTGGAAGACTACCGCAGACCAGGCTCCTTTGGCAACAAAGACCTCGGTTGACCGAGTCCTTTCAGGAGACCGAGGAAAGAGCTCCCTGGCAGAGCCGCTTTCCGAGGCCAGTGAGCGCCTCGCGCATCGGGACTTTCAGTCTGACTTTGGCGACAAGGACTTCGCAGTTTTGCCAGCTCTGGTCCCGTTGTTCGGGAGCTGCAACCCCCTTGCTTAAACAAGCCCAAGCTAAGAGTGCAAGCAATTCTAGATTCTAAATAGGTTCTAACATCTGAAAGTCGGCATGGACAGGATCGCGAGATCGACAAGCGCTTGCTAAGCGCGGAGAAGATTTTGCAGAAGAGTGCCGAGGCTTTGGCTTTGCTTGTGCTTCGGTAATCTCTGTCTCATGGCCAGCCCTTCCTTTGGACAGCAGCATCCAACTCAAGGTTCCAGCCGGAGAGGGCAGCAATGCGGCTGCTGCAGCCGAAAAGGCACCGCCTCAGCCCCTGCCTCAGTGACACAGCTGGCCCCGGCAAGCTGAACACGAACGGCAAAGAAGGGCCTGACCAAGAGGGTTTTGGCGGAATCCGAGCAAGTGACTTCCTGCTTCAGCAGGAGATCGGGCTAGAGCCCCGATTCTCCCAGATCATGTGAGGACGGGCAAACGGGGGAAACCAAAAAGCATTCTTGAGAGCTTTCCGAGGCCTTCAAAGATTGCCGGGCGCCGGGGGAAGAAAGGCACCCGATGAGAGCGCAGTTAGGACATCCGGAAGTCTCTTTGAGGCTGTGAAACGGAGCTCAGCAGGGCCACGGTCCTCGGCGTTCCGTCAAAAACCAAAGCCCAGTGTAGATTCATGTAGTCATGCAGACGTTTAGTCGACTTCGGTCCACTGCCGGAGATGCGTCCTGCTGGAGCTTCGGTGGGGTAGGCCAACTGCCAGCATGCGAGCTACTCGCGCTGGGTTTGCTGGCCATTGCGGCTCCTCTCGGCCACTCTTAACTGGAAAGCTGTGCTTCTTTCAAAGGTCTGCATGCGAGCTCCGCAGCAAAGGATTAGGACCGTAGACGAATCATAATGAGGTAGATTGCTTCTAGTCGGATGCTTGTGCCAAGCGCCGGGCTCGCCGAGTGAGCTGCGGTTAAGGGATGTGAAGGGTGTCACCTCGACAGTTTGAAGCAGCCACAAGCATGCTGCGATTTCAAGATGGGATGTCAACCTGGGGTCCCTCGAGCTGCGTCCTAGGGTCCTCCATGGTCCTCGTTTGACAATTGTTTGTGTTGGGCTACGCCCAACAGTGCCTGAATGCTTGCAATGCAGGGCCGCGATCTTTCCCGTTGTATCGCGCATGCAACGCATCAAGCTAGCTCTGTGGTGCTTTTAACTGCTGGAGTGGGGAAAAGTTCACTGTCACGGCCCCGTTTTCACATCATGTGAAGTTCCACGAGGACTCACGAGTGAGACGGGGAGGCCACTGCCATTGTAGTGTGTGTTCTGCTTGCTCCGTCCTACTGGAAGCACATGTCGTGCGCAGTTGCAGTCTTCGGGCTAGCTTGGGCCACATAGTTTCATGCCAAGGGTTCCCTGCTAGCAGAGCCCTCTCAAGCCCATCCACACCCACACCCACACACACACACACACACACACACACGCCCACACACACGCCCACACACGCGCTGCGGGAGGCGAAGTTCGTATGGTTGAGGTTCGATTCAATGCTCCCAGGGCAACCGTCTGTTCTATGTCTATGGGAACTATTGGAGCCCAGCACCGTCCGGCATGTGGGCTTTCGTCGAGATGATGTCGACACATGCGTTGAACATGCCGAACTGGATGAATCAAGGTGCACACTTGCCCCCATCTGACGGTTGCTGCGGAGTTGGACCTCAAGCTGGATGCGAGCTTAGTAAGGCTTAGTAATTGGTGGATGCGCGCACGCCAGTTGCACCTCTCTCATAATGTCCTGGATCACCGAGGCGTGGTTCTCCAATGAGCTTAAGACTGGCAACTTCGGCGGTCCTCAAATTCAGGAAAGCCCGTTTGCGATTCTTCGGGGTCGGAGTTTCTCTTCATGCAAAGACCCTTGACAGTCCTCCTTGGGTTGGCTTCGAGCGTCAGGATATGCTCCAGGTTTGCCGGTTGATCTTGGAGTGGGGCTACAATCCAACTTGGGAGCGGTGGATTAAGGGCCACAAAGATCTCCTTTGCAAGTGATCCGTTGCTTCGTCAGAACCATGGCGATGTCGAACGTGTTCTCGGTGGTATCCGGCAGCATGTCTTGCAAGCGTTGAACATTCGCCGCTCGGAAATGACAGTTTCTGCAGGTCGCCAGTGTAGTCCATCAGTGGTCCCGCTCTGACTCTTCCAAGTGTTTCCGACTCATCGCCCAAGTGTATCTTTCTGTCTCCACCAAGGAGAGTTTTTCCGTGTCGACGAGGCAGCAACCTTGCAGGAATGGACTGCTGCTGAGAATGCAAGCGACAGGACCGACAATGCGGTGGAAACTTTTGGCGTCAATTCCCGGTCAACTCTCGCAGTCACTTTCCTTCGTTGCATGCATAGGTCTGAAACTGTCCAGGACCTTCACCGGACGGTGTACAGCCATGAACTAAAACATGAGTGCGATGCTTATGAAGCAAACAAATCGGAATGTCGTTCGGCACTGCTCAGCACCCGAAGTCTTGCGCGATGTTTGGAAATGAGCTGGCATCCGCGGCGAGACGCCAACTCCAAGAGATTGCAAAATCACGGACCGGACAAAACAATACCAGAGCCGGCACCAGCTCAAGCGTTCAGTTCGCTTGCGCGAGCCTCTTCGGGCCTAAGCCATGACCCAGGCTTGCTTCCCTCCATCTGCTTGTGCTGCAAGGATGCCGCACCAAGAGTGTTACGAGGCTCTCAGGAGCCTGAGCTGATCTGGTTTGTCGATGTAACCATGCCAGCTCGAAAGCCTTGGCCTTCATCACGCAGTTGCAGCCCAGGAACAGTCTGCTTCCAACGCTGGGGCACAAACGTAGCGGTGCCGTGATCCCTGGTGATGTGTCCCCCAGCTGGCAGTCTAGGTCTTGGGCCCTTGGGCTTGGGTGCTGAACTTAAGCCAAGACATCGGTGTTTTTTGTTCAGGTCACGAGCCTGCTGCGCTGACTTGGGCAGCCTCAAGAGCCACATCGCTCGCCTTCAGCAGGTCCTGGGAGAGAATGTCGGCTCTTGAGCTGCCCCGTGTGGCGTTGAAAATTCGGAAAGCTCTTCGATATAGCAAAAGCATGTAAAAGCTTTAAAAGCTCCAGCGGACCAACTACATCCGGGGTGAACATCCCAGTAGGGTCGCTAAGTGATAAAGATTGAAGCTGCCCATGCCATGACAGATAGGTTCAGGAAGACATCGCCATTGCAGACGGGCGTTCTGCGTTCACATGCACCCGCTTTTCGTGTGTTCGTAGCGTACAGCACTGCGCCCTGACCGACTAATGAATTAAGTGGTATGTGTTTTGCAACTTGCAGTGGCGCGACACGGGTGCTGGTACTCGTACCATCTTGTCCCAATCCAGAGCGCATTGTGACCTCCCCAGGGCCCAAAGTCCGGAAAGCGTGCAGCCATGGTGCTCATGCCACAGGACCTTGGGAATCATTACGCGGCCTTGGAAGGTGATGTGCTCAACTCGCTTCGAGGGGCCATTACATACGAAAGGCTGCGGACTTGAGAGCATGTATGCGACATGTCGGAATGCTTGCCACTTGAGGTTGCCAATGTAGTGTGCATGTCGTATCACGAATGAGTCCACCACGCCTCATGCCCCCCATCATTCACTTCCTTTCAGGCTGGAGATGCGCAAGGGCCCTGTGGGCGATGGCGACATGGCCCTGGTGGAGCCCTACTTCCGCCGAATTAAGCTGACTCCAAGCTCCTGCAATGCACATGGCAGCGAGGGGCAGGTTTTCTCCTTTCTTGCTTAGTGTTTTCCAGTTGATCTACAAAAACAGACCCAGGTGCAGCAGAGCGGCTTGGGTACGACACTGACATTGTAGCACACAATGGATGGGTTATGGCATCTCTGTCGCATATTGTGGCTGGAGATCTCGATTTTCTTTGTGCTTCGTTGGCTTGTTGGATGTGGGCTGATTCCGGGCATGCTAGACTCGTACGGCAAAACATAGCCTTGCCGGCCATGCTTGCCGCACTCGGATGTGTTTGTGTCTGGTGTCTTTGAGGATTGGCCTGCCACGGAGGACTTTGCCATGCCTTCCTGGCGGATGGTGTACTTGCGCCGGCACCTGTGTGTGCTTGGGCTTGGTTTTCTGTCGTCATGTGTTTCTTCCATGAGGGTGGCATGGCTGGCAGGTGTGCACGGGAGCGTGTTTTCCAAGGGCTATACGATGTAATTGTTGCATTTGGCAGGGGACGGAGCATGGACCTGGAGCATAGCAGAAGGGAGGGAGGGTTTGGAAGGTATGGAACGGCCTTTGGCAGTTTTGGGAAGCATACCTACTTTCAAGAGCGACCGCAAACCAGAACATCAAGACCTTGCAAGTGGAGGTGTGGACTGACACAGTGAAGCTGTACTATGGCCAATGCCGGCAGGACGCTCCATTCCTGCGACTTGGACGATAAAAGCATACGTGGCTCATGCGCGTTTGGCACGGGGATTCCTGTCAGTGGCCAGCCCTCGACGCGACGAGAGCAGGTGGGACTTCATGACAGACTATGCGGTGGGAATGGCAAAGATGTTCCATGCTATTCGATCCTTGCTTGATTGGCGATTTATTTGTTCAGCGGTTCAGCCACCCTGCGAGGGTCCACACGACCGGTACCCCACCTTAGATGTATGCGTGAGCATGGTAAGCCCAGATGACAGGGATGGGCCTGAATTTGCGCACTCTGCCGAGGTTTGGACAATGCGCACTCAACTCCGCTACATGTCAGTCGGCACGTCCTGTCCCGTGTTCGGGAGGCTGATGGGCTTCAGCTGGGCGTCAGCCGCCAAATAGGACACACGCCTCGAGTCATCAGAGACCCCACGAAAATATGAAGATGTCACGGAGGCCAATCCACATTGCTGGGTCTTTGCCGAGCTGTTTACGGGGAACTTCAAAACAGATCTCCTGTATCAGCGGACTCTGGGCATCAATGCGCTGATCCGTGAGGCACGTTCTGTAGACACTTGCCTTGCGTTGTGACTATCGACAGGTGTCAATGAAAGGTCGTTTAGAATGAGTCTACGACTGTTCAACCGCGGTCATCACGCCAACAGCCATGCTTGGTGTTGGCAGCCTGCCCCTCTTCAAAGACAGGTGCTAGACATTGACACGTTACAGGCTACTTGGACTGCTGTGATCCATCCGGGCTGACAGCATGCGGCGTATGAGATCAACATTTCAGGGTGCGCTCCGCCGCATGGTCGGATGTATACCGTGCCACGCAACACAGTTTCGGTACGAGCTGGGGCTCAACTCAACATCACAATTTCGCACACAGCCGAAGACAGACCTCTGAAGCGCTTGGACGATGAGCTGAAATGTTTCAGTGGCTCATGTTTTTCTCAGGCAAGCGCTTGGTATGATGAATGTCGCTGAATTCAGTTCCAAAATTCAATAACAACTGAGTTTGATTCAGAATATAGGTCACTTAAAATCGACTTCAATTGCTTCCCTGTCCTTGGCCCAAGAATCAAGTAAAATCGGTTGCAACTTGAATGGTCTATGTATTGGTTTACTTGCAGTCCCCGCCCAAAAAAAAGGTTAGCAATCCCTGAAAATCTCTTTAAACTGACGTCGACCTTTGAAACCGGAGGGAGGGTATTAAATCTAGATCTCATGCTCCTGTACCACGTAATCGCTTAGAATCGATTTTCACTCGCCTGGACCTCTATGCCGGCGGGAGGGTATTCAATCCGGAATTCACATCGCGTAAACATTTAAAATGGACTTTCATTTCGAGTCCTGCCCCCTCTTTGTCACCCGGAACTGGGGGACGCAGTCGCGAAAGGTGCAGCAACATTGAAAACTGATCTTCTCGAATGGTACATACACATTGAAAACCCTTGCTGAGCAGCATCCCGCGTGGCTGCCGAATTCAGCCAGGGGTCGTTGTTTCACCAGTATCGTCGCATTCTGAGGTTTCACTGGTCCTCTCTGCTCCCGTTATTCTCGGTGGTGTGGGTTTTGGGAAAGGCGGCTGCGCAAGGGGCCACTGTCGAGCCTTACTGTCTCGACGACAGCGAACCTTTTCCGCAGCAGCCCCGGTATCTGCTATCCCCCACCCCACACAGACATGCTACCCAACGCGCTGGCAGTAAGCGCACATCGAACTCAGACGCCTGGCCCGGATTGCCCAAGTTGCGAGAGTCAACCATAATAGTCAACCCGAAAGCCCTGAAATCCATGAACCTTGCGAGAGCGTAAACTCCAAACATTTCCGAGAAGCCCTCCACCTTTCAAACCCGAAAAAGCGCGCCGCGTGCTTCCATCCGCCGTCTCTCACTTCCTCCCGCACCCCCTCCCTCGCTCACTCAGCCGGACTCAGCCTGGGGCCTCGAGGGTCCACTGAGGCTCTGGGCGCCCCTAAAAAGGCCTCTCCAGAGGCGTCTCGGGCTTCTTGGGGTGTCTGGAGCCTTGAACTGCTTTCTGGAATACATCCTCGGCGCCGCAAAACATGCAAAAATTGACTTGCTTCATTTCAGTCCGGAAGCAACAAAAAATCACCTAAAAACGATTTTAATGCAACTGCGGTGCCTGGACACGTCAGGGTATTCCATTCGGTAGAAATCGAGACTTGAAACTAAATCCGGACCTGTCATGGTCCTTGGGATGATGACGCTGGTTCGCCAGAATGGCGTTCTTCACGGCGCCGATTTGTAGGAAAAATATCTACACATATATATATATATATATATATATATATCTATAGGTATATATATATATATATATATATATATCTTTAGAGCCAGTTTTGTTAGCACGATTGTTGCCTTCATTAGATCCCGCGTGGACCCATGTCCTTCTGGGACCCTAGTCGCTACCGGTGACCGACAAATACCATGCCTTGACAGGCCATGCAGTGCGACAGCCCTCATGATCTTGGCTACAAGCTGGAGTGGTCGGGGAGGGCAAGCGTCCGGGAGTGTTACCTTGACTGTGTCAGCTCAGTGCATGGGAAGCCATGCCCTTGTTGCTCGGGACATCCACGTCTGAACTTCCAGGAGAGCCCACTGTGGAACGGCCATCCGGTCGGAGCCCTGTCGCCAGTTCCGACGCTGGACCGGGCTCCACCCACCGCCGAACAGCGACCTGGAAGCCTTCTAAACGGGCTGAAGGTTGGGGTTGCGGTCGGACAATGTCCCAGTCGCTATGATTGAACGAGTTGAAGTCTGCCCGGCATCGCCTCCAAGGGAGATTAGATCTGTGATGATGTTTGCCTTTTGGTTATGCATGGTGAGCGACTTATCATCGCGAGATGTTTCTGAATTCTTCTGCAGCTTCGTGCCGGGAATGTTCCTTCCATGAGACTATCCGTGCCGTGCTCTATGTGACGGAATGTCTGGGGAATTTGATTGCAAGCTTCAGGAAGCACATCAGCAAGTGCCCATCGCGATCCCTGCTCGCTGCACCAGCCACCGGGTCCAATTTTCAGAGCACTAGATGGCTTCAAGGTGGCCTTTATGAGCTAACAATAGGAAGACGGAGATGCTTTAGAAGCCGGTGCCCGAGCCTCGTTCCAGGCAAGAGAGGCACTGCCGCTTCTCCCACGCCACTGTCCTGCGCTCCTCTTCGATTGTACGCATGCTACCTGGATTCACTTCGCTTCCAGCTTTTGGAAGTCTTTAGTCCCCCTTTCCTGTGCGGGACATTGCGGGACGCACCCATGTTTGGTTTCCCTGCAAGCAAATCTGACGGGCTTTGACTAGACTGATTCGTTGCGAGTCTGGTGGTTACTGATTGAGGACAACCAGACGCCTGCCCAAAAGCGTCATCCAAGGCGGAAGCTGCTTGCTACAAACCGCACAAAACCATAAACTCGTTGAATTCGGCGCCGGGTCATGACGGTTTGTCGGCCTTGCTGCTCATTGAATCTGCCAGGGATGCTTTGCCCAACGCGGCCATCGTTGCGGCCAGCTGTGCGAGTGCTGGCAGCGTCCGTGGCTACGACGACCTGTTCCCTTCGAATCCGTCTGTGGTGAACGAGCGCAGGCAGCTTCGCGTCGCTGGAGATGACAGCAGACAGGGCAGATGCAGCCAAAACGGTTGAGAGTCCAGGTGATTTTGTATTAGGTGCAAAGGCCGTAGTCTCCACGACTGCGCGTCACAGGCCGGTAAGAATCTCCTTTGAAACCGAAGAAAACCTCCAGCAGGCTGTACGCGCAAGCGCCCCATGCGGAAGCTGCCGCTTGGCTCAACCCAGGCGCTGCTCGGTTGCTTCATGTCGTCTCTCTGCCTTCCGCTTGATCCAAGGTGGAGATAAGTGGTTTCGAGCTCGCAACAAAGCCCTCCCGAGCGGATGTGCCCGAGTTCGAGAAGGATGTCAGTGTCTTGCAGTTGTCGATTGCTTGCGGCTTAAGTTTATAGCTACATGAGGCTGCTGCCCAAAAAACTTGCGGCACATTGAGGGCAAGACTGGAACTGATGATCAACTGATGGTCACTTTAGTGCGTCCTCTCCTTTGTTAATGGCTAGGTGGACAAGCCCAGCAATTGCGCCAGGAGTTCGAAATCATTTGGCATGAACCTGCCTCGAAAGTCGTCGCACGCGGTGCGTGGGACGGCTGGCGGGAGGAGCGCACGGTGCGGGCTGCTTCAATCAGACCAGCATGTGCTGCGTGCATGCTGAGCAGTTTGCGGTGAAAAGTAGTCCAAAGATTCTTGTAGGATCAACTTCAGACGAGCAGTGACCAATTTGCTTTCTGAGTTCCGGTGTCGCGCTTCATCAATGTTATGGGCCTGTGCCAGGACCTGACCTTCCAAAAAGCATCAAACGGACAGTGGAGTGCGAAGTTGAAAGTGGAGGTGGCGTGTGCGACGGCACGGGGTTGGCTTCTTTGATTGTTGAAGCTCTTCGTAATTGTTGTTGTTGCAAACTGCGAGATTTTTTGGGCCTCTCTCTGAATGGCTGCGATCTCGGTTTTAGGCAAAACTTACGTTTACTTCCCAGCCGAGGCGTTGCAGGCTGGATGCAAAAGGCAAAACTTACGTTCATGTCTGGTCCATCAGGAATAGGTCGCCTGTAGATCTGAGGGAGGAGAAGCAATAACTACAGATACGTATTGAATCGCATCGACGGTCTTCTATCTCTCTCACTGAAAGCTTAAGATGAATCACAGAACTGCAGAAATTGCTGCTGGCCAAGTGGCGACAGGAACATGCATTGCCTGAAAACTGCAGGCTGCAAAGCCACAGAAACTGGAGCCTGTGACAGCCACAGGATAGTAGTGGTAGGGCGTTGGGACTGCAGGGGGTCTACAGGCTGCGACAACCGCGAAAGTATACTAACGGATTTTTGGGCGCAATTCCAGCGCAATCGGCGCAAACCGCACGCTCGGCGCAATCAGTGCACGCAGAAAAGCCGCTGAGGACTGTGCCGGGGCCGCAAAGGTTGAAAAGTTAGAGGACTTGAAGCGACCTGACCTGAAGGTAACTAGCTTCGCTCCAAACCTTCTTAGGGGCTGCAACAGCAAGGTATAACAAGCTGATGGCAGCAGAACGCCTCCAGCAGCGACTCCACTTTAAGCTGTGCCAACTCATTGGTCGCAGGTTAGCAAGCTGCCCATGCAGTACAAGTTTATTGTCGATGACACCTGGACGATCAACAGGAAGCTTCCCCTAGCCCAGGACCAGACATGACGCTTGCGGGGGCGTAGAACCTGTGTCATCTCTCACGTGTGTCCGGATTTGTTGCTGTCAAATCACACCTGTTGCAGGACGAACACGGCAACGAAAACAACGTTTTGAGCGGCTTGGCTGGCACATGCCAGTTTAAGCCATGTCTGAAGCTGCGGTCTGCAACTGCTCCGCATGGTAGGCTAGTGCATGACATGATTCGTCGTTGTAGTTCCCACTGACGAGACTTTGCTGCAGCGCGCAGTGGATGTGCACACCACCTGCAAGTCGAAAGGGCCGTTCCAACTTTGCGGCGAAGTCGAGGCACACCGGGTGCAGCCCCAACCTCGGGGAGTTCCATCTCTGGGCCGGATGTGTTGGTCAACAACCTTCCCGGCATTCTGCTGGTTAAACAGGCCAGAAGCATTGAATGCGGTTAGTTACTGGGACGTGTGATTGTATTTCCCTGCCATTCTGTCTGAAAGCTGATCTGCAGGTTCTCAACAGGCTCCACACCCGTCTTGGTCGTGATGGATACACCGAGATCGGCGTGTTTCGACTGCTAATTTGCTTTTGGGCCTTGTGGGTGTATTCAAGGTTGTTGGTAGCATCGCATGGCGCCACAGCGTAGGTTCACTTCTTGGCTGACGACACGCTGGCCATCGAGAGGCGGTCACCCGACAACGGACACTCGGTCTGGCCGCTCTGCTGCTCTGGTAAATCCAACAAAAGTTGCGTTGCACTTCGCCTCTTGAAGCAGTCAGGCTTGGCGACAGCAAGCAGTAGGTCAGTAGGGTTCAAGCCTGAAAGCATCACCATGCTGTCATTCTCGGAGCCTCAGGTTTGTCGTCCGCTCCGCTTTCTGGAGAGATCGCATGGGTGACGGCTTGCCTGCTGGCAACTGCGAGGGAATTAGGTGGTGTGCTTGGGGGTTCTCCGGTCCGCAAGTTGCTGTGCGGATAGTAGCGGGCCTCGAGCCAGCCTACCACGCATCAGATGTAGCAAACGGCTCAAGGCCCGAACTGGCCGTTCCAAAACCTGTGAGGCACTCAAGAATTGGAGGTGGACGGAACCATTGCGCACTTGCACGTCGCTGCAACTCTGTTTGTGGCTCTGGCTGAGTTCAGTGAGTGCCATGCTTGGAAGCACCATGGATAGAGAAACAGTTGACTGGCTCAAGCAACTTTGGCCAGTCTGATTTGCAACCGAGGTCGGAGATCAGCATGAAAATGGCTATCGTCGTGACAGCGAGCGGGTGACAGGCAGGATCCATCATTATCTTCGTTCTTGTGAAGCAGCGAGATATCTTTGCTGTCAGACACAGCATGTGTCCTGAAGCCCTCCAAGCCTATGACTAAAGAGGAATGGATTGCTTTCTGCACGTGTACGGCTCTGTCCACGAAGTCGCGACTGTGTGGACGCAAGGAAGCTGCTCGCTCGCACACGCAGGGCCGTCTAAGCCGGTCTGTGTCCACAGATGTTTGAACTGCAAGCTGAGTGGAAACTAATTAAGGCAATTCTCGACTCCGCCTGCATCGATTCCCTCCTGGCAGCATTCTCGTGTTCGGCACAGATGCCGCGTGGCAAGAAGAACAGGGCTCACGACTGCAGCTGTGGTTCAAAGATGGAGGGGCTCCTCTTTGAGTAGATGAGACCTCGATGAAGTTTGCTGGTCTCGCAGCAGATGACTATGGCTGCTTGTCAAAATGTTCAACTGCCCCTCTGTCCCAGGTTTCAAAGACACAAGCAAGACAGAAGGCTGTGGGGGCAGCCTGAGCAGTTGTGCAACACAATGCCCAGAGATCTGCTCTCAGCATGCCAGAACTCGGAATCACGGAATCTGAATTCCCTTTGCTATGTTGAGTCTTCTTGTTGACGTTGCCGTCGGGGTCGATGGGCCTGCCACTTTTGTCCCGGGTGAGCTTGGTTTTGATGTTGTTCCGGTTGTAGGCGATTTAGGCAGGCCGGCCTCGTTCATGCTCGTCGTTGTATCAAGGTCAGTTTCAAATCCACTGAACCTTTTTGGTGTGATCATGTTAGCTGCCCAGGGGCCGACGAAGGGTCCGAACAGCGCATGTTACTCCAAGCCCTACGACTCTCTGCACACACAAAGTCCAACGAGTACGGGGAGCGCTCCCGAGGGAAACTAGCACTCGAAGACCTCGATCCCGAGAAGCTGCAACAGAGAAGACCACGTTCCCAGGACCGCTTAATACCACTCCCAAGCCCTCCCAAATGCCAATGTGCAGCGTTGTGGCGAGCGCAGAGGATCCGCCCTTTCGGGAGAGCGCAGGAAACCCGCAGCCAACGGCACTGTGGCAAGATTGCAATTTCCCGTTTGGGAATTGAAACACCCACACCCGTCGAGCAACACAGCGTCTCGAATGCCAGTGGCACTGGCGAGAGCCTGGACGGACTGCGCGCTTCAGGGGATGGGAATACAAATAGCAGTTGTCGTAGTTCCAAGAATCGTAATATTGGTAGCATTCGCAATGGGAGCAGGAACTGGAATGCGATTAGAAGTCGTAAGTTATCGTAATGCCAGCATACATCGCACGTGATCGTCATAGTAAAAGTCATCGACCTCGGAAACTAGTTCCCCGTTTCGTTCCGCCGCGAAAACGAATTTGTCGAAGACACAGTTTTTCGTGAGGAGAGTTGAAGCTCAAATTGAAGACGAAATTCCGCCTGACATGTTGTCGGATAGAAACAGGGATGGAGGGTCTTTCGGTTGTCTTTGAAGCACGTTTTGGTACGGTCCCAAGCGTTTATTGCGAAGCGCTGTGAGAGTGCAAGAGCGGGCCTGCACAAGACTATGGCGAGAGAGTGATTTTGGAGACTCGGGCACTGCACCATACCCGGAGCTGTGGAACCAGCTTTTGAGCTTTGCTTCCATGTTGTCCAGTAGAAGCAGCTTCCGAACGGCTCGAAGAAGATGCCGTCTTCTTTTTCAAAATGTTCAGGCCGTCATGAACTTGCTGGCTGCAGAGCAAATCTCGCGACCATTGCAAGGCCAGCAATGAGCGAATGCCATCGGTTCTGTGTTGTAGTTGATGGAAGTCTGGAAGATGCCTTGTCGTCCAAGGTCTGGGCTTGCATCAGCTCAACTACTTGTTGTGCCTTGTTCATGTCCAAGGGTGTCGTTGCATAAGTGCATGAGCTGCTCGCTGCAAGAGGCTCATTATGCATTGGGTTTGTCGTGGCTTTTCTAAATTTGCTGGCTTTGGTTTCTGAAGAGATGTCCTCTGCGTAGGCTTGGACCTGTCTTTGAGGTATTCTTGTGAAGCCGAAGAGCGGGACCGCTCGGATGGCGAGCGAGGCAGGAGCCGGGGCGGCGGCACGCGGCGCTGGCTTCCGTAGGATTCCCGTGTTTTGCATGTGGCGCAGCTTGACCTTCCGAAGCTGAAGCCATAGCCGCCATAGCCCAAGTCAGGTAGATCGTTACATCCGGAGAGAGACATGGGGGAGCGCAGTACTTGGCACAAGAGACCATTGCGTGGTATCAGTACCTGCATTGCCAGAAATTGAATCCAAGCTGGGTGAACTCCGTGCCGAGAAGCGCAAAGTGGTCTTACTGCCACAGGTGCCTACGATATTCCTGGCTTTGGTCCTTTCGCTTACTGCGGCATCATGGGAGTCTGCGCTCTCATCAATCCAGCACTTATGTGCTCTATTTCGATCGTTGTAGGCAAGACGACTGACTGGGTCTGTGTGCAGCATATCCGTCTCTTCTGAGGCACGGCCTTGGATGAGGCCAGGAGGCAGCACACGGAGTCTGAACTCCTTACAAGCCCCGTTCATCTGAAGCATTAAAAGGCTGCCTTTGCATTGAGCCAGAGACCAGAGAGGTTCCTTCTGCAAGCTCAGGTCTTGGAGAACGTCCGGCAGGGTGATTGGCTAATCGCCTGTTTGACCCAACGTCTCGTACACATGCCCGGGCTCGGTATGGTGAAGGCCCGACTCTGGAACCTTCCCCTGTGTTTCAGTTTCGGATAGTGCCGTTGTCTCAGACATGCCAGCTTCGTTCGGCCGTTCGAACGAGCTCGTTCCACAGGAGTGGCTGGAGAAAGCTGCTGGAATCCTCCACAGCTGCCCTCGGAAGCTTGCCCCGCACCTCGGTGATACATGTGGCTTGGTACCTGGCCGACATCGGGATTCCAGCTGATCGTAGATGAGATTTAAATGCCGGGCTCAATTTGTACCGGTGGTTGGGCTTCCCAGGTGTGTAAGATGTGCTCGGGCGCCAGGAGGGGCAAATAGGTCGAAAAGGCATGCGCTCCAATCGTTGCTCGAAAGGTTCTATTTTGACCTCCTTGTGCCGGGGCTTTGTGCTGCAGCCAGCAAGGAGTTGCTTGGAGCACAAGCTCGGCCATGCATGGGGAGCTGACTGATTGTTTGAGTGCTGCAGCTTGATGCTGTGATCTGCATGTTACCAAGTATAGGAACTCCCTGCAGCCTTTGAGGGCAACTGAAATGCTGCAGGCTTCTGGACGTGTCCTCCGACTTCGTGTCAGCTTTCCATGGCGCCTCGAAGAAAGCCTGCGATAGCACCCTCGACTCACTTACCCTCACGTACACTAGAGACACAGAGAACTCAAGAGGAGTATGGATGTCCCGAACCGTTGTTTGCGTGCTGGAACCCCGCTTGACGGCCCTTTTAGTCCTTTCGCCTGTCAACCTTCGTGCAAGACCGGCAAGGGTTGTCCGAGTCTGAGTGTCAACAATTGGTGCTTGAGCGCCACAGCCACAGATAGATGGAAAGAGCTGTGCGCTCCTGCTTGGATTCAAACTTCAACAATAAGATGAAAGCTGGCAGTTGGTGCATAGGTTTCCGGATGACTACAGCTTCGAGACCCTCAGCACCCGGGGTTGGCTTTTGACCCAGTTCCAGCCGTTGCTTGTAGAACGAACCTCGGGCGAAGTTTCTGTTGGAAGTGAGCCCTCTTCCTGATGCTGCGGCCACGGGAACAGCAGCATGCCATGCCTCTCCTCTCAGAGCTGCGGGAGATAAAATCTAGCAGAACCTTCTACAGAGGAGGCGCAGGCGCCCAGTTGAGCCTACACAGTCCCTTGTACACTCAAGTGAGAAGTCAGCCCCAGCCCGACACGTGTGCTCAGGAGCCTCAGATTTGATTCGAGACGTGGCGCTGGCAACCTCCCAGTTCTTGGCGGCATTGGCTTTGATCGCCTTCACCCTCAAGAACCATGACATACGCTGGCATCGGCTTCAGCTCAAGCTCAGGTTCTGGGGCGCCACAAAATCTGCACCGCTGAACTGGGACCTGGCACAACGCAATGGTTGGCACAAAGTGCCCTCGCTCTGCGACCCTCGCTGATCACTTGCTGCGTTTGCGGAGCGATCTCGCTGACGGTAAGATTTTCACGGTCTCGCAATCTCAGGCCGGTCTCCCTCACTTCGCAGCAGGCTTTATGCGAAACTGGGGCCGGGACACCTTCATCGCACTGAAGGTGTGGGGGGGGGGGTAAGAAAGAAGACTTTTCATCCCAACCCGAGGCAGACAAGCTTGAAAGATGTGGGGGAGAGCTTGCAAGCTAAAAGCAGCAACTGCACGCAACGCACCCTAGTAACTAGTATCCAGTGCAATATGCAGATGGCCTGGGGCGTGCTTCTGTTCAAATCCCAAGCTCTTGTCTCGCAGGGTTGCCTGCTGGTGACAGGGCACTTCCAGGAGGCCGGGTACTTTGATCCTTGCGCCCCTCCGTCTTTGAGCATCCAGCCGGAGGTGGCCGTTGGTCAAACTGGTAGTTCTGGCGTTTCTTGATGCGGGCACTGTGTATGAACCTCAGGCTCGGGACACTCTGCTGGTCTATGCAAGCGTCATTCGCCATGGCCTTTGTCCTAACCTCCTGGATGCGGCCAACCGCCCGCGCTACAATGCTCGAGACGCGACCTGGTTCTTTATGCAGGCCGGAAACCGGAGGGATGGACAATAGTTGTTCAGACGCAGCGCGGGCAGTGACAGGCAATTCAGGACTATGTGGCGGAGTCACCGGAGGGCGAGAGCTTCCTTGCCGCCCCGGTCAGCTTGAAGTGGCCTGTGAAGGAAGGGGGCTCCAAGGGCTTCGAGCTTGCCTAGCAAGTGGTGGATCCGACCTAGCAGCAACTGCCTTGCTTGCACAAGAACAGAACAGAGCAGACGGATGAACCTCACAGATCTCGGCAGAGCTTTGCAGGACTGGGACCCAGATCTTGCACACATGGAGGTCGCTGAGCTTCATAAGCGGGTTACGACCCGAGATCGTCCTCGGAGCACATTCCCATGCCAATGTGGGGTAAGGTGAAGACGATCGCCGACTTAATCCATTTGATCTTCTCGGCGCATGCGAAGGCTCGACGGTTGTGTGATAGGGATGAGCAGTGGTGGCAGATCTGCTTCAGATTCTTGCGGCAGTCTTGGAAATGCTGGGTTCCTGAAACTCCTGAAGCCTTGTCAGTTCCGAGTTTGTTCTTGTGAAGCTTTTGCCTTTCTGTCGAAGCCTCATGTTCTTTTCGTTGCAGGGCATCAACTTCCGCGAGTGGGGGGCAGGACGAGGTCCTGATGCTGGAAAAGGCAACATGGCCTGGACCAAGACTTGTGACTAGCGTGAACATGCAAAGAGAAAGCTGGTCTGCAAGTCGCTGGAGGAATCGATGATGACATGAGCGAGTGGGGCTTCGATGTCAGCGTAAGGCCGGAGCAGAAGCTTATCCCTGCAAGTCTCTGCAAAAGAGTTTCAAGAACGGACGGAGGAGGTTCCAAGTTGAACATCCTGCAAATGCTCGAGCGGCTGCATTTGTGTGGCTCTGGGACCCCTTTTGTGAGGCTTGACGAGAAGACCGGCCTCATCTTCGGAGGGAGTGAGCACAACTGCGGTCCCTCGTCTTGGACCCATTCCTTGGTCCCCGCATTTCATGGAAGAGCTCCAGTCGTGACTGGCACGGACGAGTCTGTACGTAGTTCCTCGATGACTTTCTGTTTGCGCAGTGCAGAAGCTAAGCAAGCTTCGGGACAGCCACCTACCATGCTTCCAAAGTTGCCTTCAGAAATCATCGCGAGATAAGTCACAGAAGAAGCTGCCCGATGGCGAAATGCTCGTTGCAATCCGGCCCAAGGCACGTGGATGGACAAGATGGGCTCTTCGGCCAAGGCCACCAAGCATGCGCCATGTGAGCTGATCCGAATTTGCAGATTCTTCCATCACAATCGTAACAGGCCGGCAACAAAGGGAAACCTGCCACGCCTCGTGATGGAGCAGCGGTGGAGCCACGGCCAAAACCTGTTGAGTTTGTTGCTCGTAGACAGCTAATAATAGCGCTCTAGAGGGAGCTTTGACATCGTCCATCGCGTGTATCGTAGTAATGTGTCGAAAAGTTGTTGTTTCTTGAGGCCAGTAGCCAAAAGGGCCACCAAGCAAGACCTCTGTGGGGCATGTCCTCTGAGAGTTGAATCGGTTCAAAATCGCTGTGGCTGGTGCCATGGGAGTTCACAAGCATGATGCGATACTGTACTTGTGCCTTCGCAAGTAGTTTTAGCTCGCAGCATGTGTTGTAGGAGATTGTCGGTCTCCTCAAATCAGCTCTTCGATGGCTCTCTGGCTTGAGAGACTCGGCTGTGTTGTTGCAGACTGCCAGGCGGCTGTTGATTGTAGTCCTTACAAAGCGCTGCATGGCGCAGCACTTGCGGGAGATAAGACTGGCCGGGAGTCACCTGGCATCGTAGACATTCGGGTGAGTTGGTCGTCTGCAATGTGAACGAGCATGTGGAGGTGTTCTCTCAAACCCTTCGCCCTTGGCATGATCAACCACGCGGGGAGCAGCAGTGAAAAGTTGGCCACTCACGCAGACGGCATGAGTGGCATACGGGTGGTTGTCAAAATTATGGTCCCTTCTTGGGTCCTTATTATAGTACGGCACCTAATATTTAGGGTACCCAAAAAAGGGGCCATAATTTTGACAACTACCCATAGGAAAATGCCATTGCGCCACCATGGCAAACCTTACATTACGTGTGGTATCTCTCCCTCGCGTCGACCATTACAGCAGGTTTGCATGTGTTTCATGTGTGTTGGCTGGCTTGCCAAGTCCTAACCTCTCGATATCGATATCTTCTATCAAACGACAGCTGAGGCAGAGATGTCTTCCCCTATGAGGCGGTAAAGACAGCTTCCGGTCAGCCGCTGATGTACAAAGACTGGGATAGCAGGCTCTCAGAAAACTTCGAACGCCTGTCGCTCAGCCGCACCCGAAACATCCTTACATGCTCTTCTTTGTCATTGCTTCCTCTTGACGGCCTGTTGCTCTCACCATTGGCGCTCGCGGTTTCTATCAGACTGCAAACCATCTGGTAGGGATTGATGCGTTGGTGCCGCTCGCATGCGAACTGGTGTGCAGAATCGTGTCATGCTTGCCTGGCGCTGCTAGATTGTTCTGATCTCTTCTGGATGCAACTGCAGAGAGAGAGAGAGAGAGAGAGAGAGAGAGAGGGAGAGAGAGAGAGAGAGAGAGAGTCGCGTGGAAGAGCGCTAAGCCCTGCAGAATGAAAGAGAGAGGGAGAGAGAGAGCAAACTGGGGATCACACTCTAATGGTACAGCCGAGCCCTCCGAAGAAAACTGTCGGATGGGGTGACTTCCTCGCCATGAGACGTGGGGGTGCGCTCGCGCACGGAGAGACTGCCTTGACGCTGCAGTCTCTTCACGCCCTGTAGCAAGCAAGCACGAGAGCAAACTGCCCTCTGGAAATAAGTTTCTTTAGTCGAACTTGCATACCAAGCCGCGCACAAGGTTCTGGATTAGCCCGGACGAGAAAACAAGCGCACCGGTGGCTGGTATCTACCGCGACACGGTCGGAGCCACGCGCAACCGTGGCTTTGTGTTAGAAGCTTTCCGATGTTTTCTGCCCTCGCTGATTCCAGCACGGTTCTGATCACAATGTGACGCATGAAAGCTTGTCAATCCAACTTCGGCCTGTTCTCTGAAGTGCGCCCATCAGGCAAGTGGCAAGATTACCAGCTTCGACCGAACTTTTGCATCGCTATGACAGTGGCACCAGAGCTTTTCATGCCTGAGCATGCGAACACCGCGCTGCAGGCCGGCTGCCCGGCCCCGACAGTAACTCCGAAATCAGGACTTCTCGCTCGCCCTCTTCACGGGGTTGCCGCCGGCTTGCCTGTCTGCTCGCCTCGCACGCTCTACGCTCTCCCTCTGTCCCTCTTTTTCTTCACTCACGTGATCTGCGATCTTTCCCGCTCTCTCTCTCTGTCTTTCTCTCTCTGTCTCTCTCTGTGTCTCTGTCTCTGTCTCTGGCTCTCTCTCTCGCGCTCTGTCTCGATCGGTCGCTCGGCAGCACGCTCGGGCTACAGCTTCGGGTTGATGTCGTCAAAGCTCTGGCTAGGCTTCAGCTGAGTGCAGGTTGTTGCAAGCCGACTGGTTGGCCCCCTGGGCATGTGCACACTTGACCCAGCCGACAAGGAGCAGGGTTCAGGGTTTCCTGCTGCACGCCTGTCTCAGTTCGGGTAATGCCGTTTGCTGATGCTGATCCGACATGTCTTCACCATTCCTTAGGCTCTGCTTCGCTGCATTGGGTTTGAGGGTGATCTATCCAGTTCGGGATTGGGTTGCAATTGCAGTCCTATCCGCGCTGCCGGGATGGAAGAGGAGTACCATGGAGATTATCACAACGACAACGACTCGAGCGACCAGTCCATCGCCCATGGCTGGAATTACCATCAAGGTCCTGAGTGGGTGTGGCCGCTAGGATTCTTTCTCGAGGCAGGAAGTCACTTGTTTCTCCGTGATTCTTGTTTTATTATATGGAATTTGTAATCTTGCACTTCGGATGATGTATGGCCGTCCCGATGTTTGCTAAGTGGAACGGCGAAGTGGGAGGGTGTCACCATTCTTGCCAGTGGCTACTAGTGTTACTATTCAGGTTGCGCCGTGCTCTAGCTCTAGAGGTCGCTGCGTCACGAGATGCCACGAGTGTGTTCGTGACTTGGTGAGCTTCGACTGGACTATCACAACTTGCGGTTACGAATGTCCGGCTTGGTTGCGGCCGACCACTGTGTATCACAAACCGACGCCTTGTCTGTCGTTCCGGCAACATATGCGGAGCTTGAGGCACGGGATCTGGCTGCCTTCTATATCGTAAAACACAGGGTCAATTGCACATTGGCTTCAGTGGGAACACCTGTACACAAACAAACACATTCCACACAACGCATCACAACCAACATTAAAAGAAAGCAAGTTGCTAAATGGTTGGGGTGTAGGATGACTATTGTTCTCTTGAAAGCACAACAAAATATTGGGAACACCTATGTGCAAGCAACAAGAATCCACAAAACCACAACCAACATTTCAAGCATCAAGATGCAAAATGGTTTTGGTGTAGGATGACTATTGTTCTGTTAGCCAGGTTGGTCACTCTCCTGATTACGTTGCCATTCCTTGCTAGTGAGCAAACAAGCCCAAGTCCACCGCGAATGCGGTCGCTACTGCTTTTGTCTTGATGGCGTCCTTGCTCTTGTAGCTGCCTGGCGTAGTCGTCACATTGACGTCGTTGTTGTAAACCGCAAGGTCGCTGTTCTCACAATTCGTTTCTTGTGTCAATTGCTGCAATCCGTGAACATCAGGATGCCCACGCGATCTGGGAGGGGATACCGGAAGCCGTCAATCCGATGCTTCTTCAGACGTCCAGCCCCAGCCCGTGACTCAAAACGAGAGCAACAAGCACCATTCAGAAGCAGAGCACGCCAAGCGAGCCACAGCGTTCGCACTAGCCCAGCATGCTGACGTTGCGATGTGCACCAAGCTTCATTGCTCCTCTGGTTCTAGAGTCCCTTGATGTCAAAGTCTTCCACAAGTCTGGGTTGTAATCAGCCCTGTGCCAGCGCTTTCTGGCAGGCATGGAACCACTTCGGTTCTCTGGATACTTCTTCGTCCGCGCCAGCGCGCTATGCAATGCGAAGCTTTGCTTTTTTGCTGCCGGAGATAGCTTCTTGTTAACTCTAATGTTGAATTCACTGCCTTTCCGTGCCGAAGCAGATTTGAACGCTACGTCCTCTGGACTAGTGGCCCCCCCGATGCTTTCCACAAGCTGTACTCGTGGAACCATGACGTTTGACTTCCTCAACGTTGGCTTGTGCAGCAACGGTGAGTCAGATTTTGCAGTCTTTCCCCGCAGTGACTCCCAACCCCGACGTCGCGCAGAAGTCAGAATAAGTCAGATGCCCATTGGCCCACAACTGCTCTGTCCAAGAATGGCTTCTGCCACATCGGGAGATGCTCCGAAAAGCGCCATGGCGCTCGCTACCAGAGTTACCAAGTGTGCACTGGTTCTCGTGTTCTGGGGTAGTTCGACCAGCTCATCAACTATTGACAGCAAGAATTTGAAAATTCCATGATTACGCGCAGTGGGTGCTTAGGCAAGACGTTGGTACTGTTGTTCGGTGACGGTGTGGGCGTGAAGCTGCTTCAGTTTGTGCATGCTGCCTGCTGTCCCCAAAGGCCCTATTCAGACGAAAAGATATCGAACAAAATGGATTGAGATTCGATGGTTTAGGAAGTGTTCCTGTCATAGGGCTTTATGATGCTTGCATTCAGATGGGCATTGCTCGACCAGGCGTTGTATGTTGCGAGTGCTGGGAGATGAGGCTCACAAACAGCAGCGGCCAGCATTGTCACCACTCCTGCCCTGCGCAGGTGGGATGTTGTGCTGGGGAGCTAGGGATTGGGCCAGATTTGACCAGTTTGACAGGGATTTGGCCAGCAACATTCGATGCATCCCACCGTCAAGTTAGCTTTCAGGCCTGGAGCCTCGCGACACTGCTGAGCGCACTTCGGAGAATGACGTTTCAGGTGGCCTAAACCTGACCAGTACCTATCCCCTTCACCCTCCCCTGCAAATGGCAGACGTGGGCTGAAGGTTTCTTTACGGGGCTGCCAAGTTGGCTCGAATGGCACAGAGGCTAGGGCTGGTCAGTTGAGTTCGCTTAGTGTTGAGGCTGCCACTGCTTGTTCAGCTGTTAGTCATTCCACAACCCCCTGCTTGATGCATCAGTCAATGCTCGGAACATGCTGCGTAACTTATCAGACTTGAGCACGACCCTCTGCCAGAGCTGATGATGCAATATGCTTTGGAGTGACTGTCAGAGACTAGCTCGCGACGCCAGAAACTCTTTAAATCCGTTCCGAGTGAGCGGCGTCACCGGCTCTCGAGGAGAAAGGCACTGGCCGTTTTCAGAGCTGCTGCACACCTTCAACATCCACACATAGGACGGCAAAATTGTGCCAAGTTGCCAAGAGGGCTTCTTTTTGAACGATGCCAAGCTACCGAGCTTCCACTGCCAGGAAGGATAAGTTCTTGGCACGAACTCTTTGCTATGTTGGGCGCTGCAGCTTCAAGAGGCAACCTTTGGCGCTTGAAGGCATCCTGAAGTACTTGAAAAAAGAAAGACGTGCTTGTGACAAGCTTTGGCACAAAAAGCTCACCCACCCAACCCTCAACATCCTGGAAGCTGAGCAGCTCGACCTAGATCGTGATTGGAGGCTTTCGACTGCAACACCACCTTGCGGTCGCTTCCAGACGTGTGCAGAAACCGTTGGTACAGGCAGTTCTCATTACGAAGCCAAGCGGCTGGCTGCCACGTCGTTGTTTCCCTTGTCACAGCCTCCTCGCCTCGACACACATGCTGTTGAGGCTGCAGTCTCGAGGTGTTGTTCCATGCAGGCAACCATTGCAAGTGGCGCTGCCACCCTCGGCACTCATGCAAAGTTTGCTTTTGAATTGAAAGACTTGCGCGCTTGATACTGTGGCTTGTGGCTACCTGGCTCATCCTGGCTCTGCGCTGAAGTGTACTGTTCGGGATTGCAGTCCTTGTAGAGCAGGGCTCGCCTTCGGCCTGTCATTGGCTCAAGACGGCGAGTGCAGTTGTCATTTTTGCTACTCAGGCCTCAATAGCCGTTTAAGGAGCCGAGCGTCGCAAGGAAATCACGTGTCATCGGGGTGGACGTGGCTTCACGGGTGCGCAACCTCGACCTGGTGCCATGGCCGAGGCGAAGCGTCCGAAAGTGACGCTTATCGCCGCTTTGAGTGAGTAAAGAGGTCGAGAGAGAGAGAGAGAGAGAGAGAGAGAGAGAGAGAGAGAGAGAGAGGGAGAGAGAGAGAGAGAGTTTCTTCTTGTCCTCTTCGGCTCTGTTTCCGAGTCCAGTTGCCGAGGGAATCCAACGTCCGTGTGTGCTCCCAAAAGCCGTGGTTTGCATGCAACTCTTTGGCACCCGCAACTGTCGGGGGCGCGCGAGCGCGTGGTGGAAGGGGTAGCCCCTTCACCCTAACCCTGGCGAAACTTTCGGACGTTTTCAATGAGGTGCGATCTTTCAGCTGGGCGGGTGGGAAAAAACCCTGGCGAAAGAAAGAGAGCGAGACCAGCGCACGCAGTGTCCTCGACCACCACGCGACTTTGAGAAAAGGTTCGCTGTCGTCCGCCCGTGCTTCGTGCCGTTTTTCGTTCATGTCTGCAGAGAGAGAGCGGAGGGGGACTACCCCTTCGGCATAGCCCGGGCGAAAGAGAGAGATGCTTTGTGTTTGGCGTAGCAGCCCACCGGCACCTCCTGGCCCAAGGCAAAGTCCGATTCCGGTCGCAGCGAGCCAAAAGCTGGTGCCTCGTCAGAAATCGCATCAAGACTGCTAGACACTGATGTGCGGGGGACGAGACCGCTCATGGCAATGGCGAGCCAACAGTGACAACCAAGCTGCTAAGCGGCTGTCTTGGATCGAGCCGTCAGAGCATGGCTGCAGATGTTGTTCCATGCTCCCAACTTACTGCCCATGCTCACTAAGGAGATGGTCGTCTGCGACCGGCGCCCGCGTAACTTCGATCAATAGTGGCTCAGCAGGTCGCAAATCACGAAAACAAAATCTGCCTCTGCCCTCACTGTTAACTGCAGGTGTTGTGATGCGTCTAGATAGTAACAGCACGCTGTCTCGAAACCATGGCGGCTCTACTGCACGGCGTCAGCACATGCCGTGCGAGAGGCAGCTGCAGCACGGTCACTTTCAAAGTACCTGCAGGTTTTTGAGGAAACCGACCGATTCGCTCCCTTTCAATGCAGAGCTTCCAAGTCTTGCCAGCTCCAAGTTTCATCCATCATCGGTGTATACTGGTTCAAAGCACGCATCAGTGCGTGACATGATGCATTGCAGCCTGGGGTTCGGCATGAATCAAAGTCTGATAGTGTGGTTCCCGTGCCCCAGACGCAAACTCGTTTCTTCCAGAGCTACCCAAAGGTCGCGGCAGGATCCGAAAGCCCCGACAGTGGCTGTTGATGTCGAGATAGAAAAGGCATGGTCCCGAGCTTTGGGGATTTTGCTGGCATGCTTCCGGAATGAGATCGCGAAGGAAGGCCCAGGCTAACAGGGCAAGAGCGCCGAAGATCTGCAAGGGAGCCAGAAATTTCGACAGTGGAACGCAACACAGAAGCCGGGGTAAAAGACCCGAAAGAGGGCTTCAACCAAGGGGCGTGCTTGCTGCTCCCAGACACTGTCGTCGCATGCATCATGTCGCCACGAATTTGTTGCAGCTTGATCAGGTTGTGACGACTGTTGATCGACTACGCCCTGCGCCGGCCGTGGCTGGGCAAATTCGAGACGTTTTGGTCCTTTGCCTGGCTGACAGAGGGGCATTCTATGTGTGACAGGTGTCGGCGGCGATTTGCTGCGAAGTGACACGGTTTTTCGGGAATTAGAGAGCAAGGAACCCAGCAAGGAACCCCGCAGCTCCAACAGATGGGCTATTGGACAACAATTCCGCGTTGCTTGTTGAGGTACTTCTGCATGTTGTGGAGGGTGCAGTGCGTATACTAATGTTGGAACTAGATAGACGGGGACACACATACGCTTCAAAAACATCGGTGAGTGTTCCAATCGATTTGTTTACGGCATGTTGTGATTGTGCCTTTTCGTGGCCTTGGCCCACCACTCGCACTCGCGACGAGCATTTCGTCTGCTGCTAGAGAGAAAGCGTTGTCCAGACCCGCTGCGCATGGGGCAGGCTTTGCCGCAACCGCACTCTGACTGTCTAAAGAGCGTAAAGGCCAAGACCAAGCTAGAAAGAAAGGGGCACAGTTGCAAGACCGGGTCACTTCCCAGCATGGACAAAGGTCAACGGGGTGACCAAGTCCGCAACTGCCGTCACCCGTACGGTCGCTTGTACTTATTGTGTTGGCGATAGGATGGATGGCTTCAGAGGGATTTTCAGGCGGCATGCAGTACTTCATGCAACGCAGCGTTCATCACTTGCGTTGGGACATGTTGGGACATTGCACCGATCTCGACGCTGCCGTCGCCCCAGGTCCCTACTCCACAGAAAACAAAGGTGGGTGTTAAGCGCACAGCAGCGGCAGCCGGGCTCGCTGAGAGGAAGGGCGCCAGCAACGCTTTGAAGGCACGAATGGCACTCAAACCGTAAGAACGTCGGTCAAGTGCCCGCTTGGTGTAGAAGCAACTCCCAGAATCCTGTGTGTGGCAGATGCAAGCGCCAGGTTGGCGTGCCACCCCGCCTCGAACTTCCTAAACCGCCTGCTGTGACTGGACTTGATGGCTGCGCATCGAAATTCACGGAGAGTTCTTGGTCCAAAAGCCTCTGTGTCATCGTTGTCGAGGTTCCTGTCTCCGCTGCCGCTGGCAATTCTGCCGCCACGCGATCCAGCGACTCGAATGGCGCACTCGACCCAGACATCCAGTGCTTCAAGTTGCTGAGCACCCTTGCAGCGCAACGGCTGACTGTAAACATGCTGATGGCTTTCCGGGCGAACGGAGTGAGGTCACGATCACTGCCGCACCTGCAAGAGCTCCTGTCAGACAGCAACTTGGCAGCGGTGGATTCGCGATTTTCAGCTGAATACATCGATTAACAAACACAACAACACCGTTTACTGTCTACGTCGCTGCACTACTACGTCTGTGGCTGGAAGACGTTGCTCCTGTTTGTATCGTTTTCTTCCAGTGAGCTCTCATGAGTTCTTGACAACAGCTGCGATGCTTGGTGCTGATCCGCCGTGCCTTGCTCTTCGAATTCGTGCAGCGCAGAGCACGCGACGCGCTCCATCCAGGAAGCCGGCTGAGCCAGCTCTTCTCTCCTTCAATGTGGGTGGCCAAATCTTCCACGTCTCCACAAAGGACCCGCGCGGTGTTTTGCTTGCAGGTTCCCCAAGCCAGTCTCTACACGTCTATAGAAAAGACGCTTGCAGGCGGTGAAAGCCAAGCCAGAGACCCTGCTTGCCAGAGTGCTGGCCAAGGTTGGGGATGGAGGCTCGCCGAAGAGCACTGTCTTGAATTCTCAGTACTCACCTCTGAGATCATCTGAGGTTTAGACCGCGTCCTGCATTTGCCGGTGGATGTTTGCCCCGACCGCTTTCGGATACTGCTGGATTGGTTTCGCTACGAAGAGCTCTTCGTCCCAAGCACGGTTCCCATAGAGGCGGTCCTGCGAGATGCGGCACGTGCGGTCCTCGGACCGGACCAGCGTAGAACGCAACGCAGTAACGCACAGCCATCAGCGCCGAGTGCCCGCATCGCATGGCTGCATCGCTGCGGCCTCGTGAGGTCTGGAGCTCCCCGCAGAGATTGTCGTGAACGGCACTGCTCGGAGCACACGGACGACCAGGGCCAAGACCGTTGGCCAAAACGTTGTCCTTGGTGTAGTCCAGAGGTCAGATACCCAGGCTCCAGACTCGTTCTGAAGTGCTTGGGCCTTGAGCATGGCACGCAAAGGCCCCTCTTCCAAACATGCATCCCAGCCCAGCACTTTTTGCGGCTTGTGCAAAAGCCGACCATAAGGTGGCCGGGCTTCAACAGCTTCCTCTCCCAATTGCTCGCTCAGATTGAGAAGCATTTTCAGGCGCTTGCGGCCACGGATGGCGGATGATGGCGGCTTGTTCAGTGGATGCGAAGCTTGGGGGGAGTCAGGTCTTACAAGCCTTCCCGCTTACCAGCAACACCTCGTATCAGCATCCATCACGCATGTGGGCTTGACGGGGTTTGTGCTCTGGCAGGCAGTCGGGTCACGATCTCAGATTTCAGAGCGAACGTTGCTCATGAAGTCAGCCGGCATCGTCCGTCGCTCTTTTTTGCTCCCCGCCGTCTGGCAACCTATTGCTTTCGTTCGCAGTTGCCACCAGTCACATGGTGTGGTGAATCCGGGCTTCCAAGGTCTCGGTCTGTTGCACATGCAGATGCCCAAGACGACGAAGCTGCGGCTGCAGATGAAGCCTTCGACTTTCCACGCTTTGTGCTCCCGCTGTTTCGGGATGAGGCACGCAAGTCATGCCTGCCAGCGGCCGATGAGAGTTTCAGTTTCCATGTCCGTGAATCGCCAGGGATGGGTCGCACCGACGCACATATGCAGTTCAGCCAGAGCCCGTGTGCTCGCACTGAAGCTGGAGGATCGCATTTTTGAACTTATTTCTGTGCGAGCTTTGCTTCGCAGCTGGACTGCCTGCCGCTGCGAAGTCCACAGGCCCTAGGCCCTGCACCATAGCATAGAACCTCAAAGCGCAGTGCTCGCGAATGGTTGAAAATTTGCCTTTTGAAAAGGAGCTGGGCTACCTGTGCGAGTTCTCCGATGCGGACCTGCTGGTGAGCTTGCCCTTAAAGCTTCTCAGCAATTTCAGAGTCAAGCAGTCAAAGCGACCTTTTGTATTGATTGTTGGCCGTTGGCCAACCACACTCGTCCGCTACTCTCAGGCTTCGCTGTGAGCTGGTCGTTACCCCAGGCAGGCAGCTCTGCGACAGACCACATGCACGCCACACAGGGGAAGCAAATTGTGCATAGATGCTATGAGGTGCAAGCTTGTTGCGCAGCACGTATCCCGGAAGAGCATGTGACTAAACTGGTGCGATTGGCAGAGACTACATGCAACACTCCAGAGAGGAACTAAAGCTGGATGCGCTGCAGGTGGGCACGAGCCTCCACCTCCAGGGCCGCCAGTGGCGGAGGGTGAGCTGAAAGAGTGAGAACTCAGGTACTTTGAGACCTCCGCTTAACTTGGCCTCGGCATTGGCACGGTCTCGATAAAGCTCTCGCCCTGTAGTGATGTATTGACTTCACGTCATGCATAGCGCGTCGGACGCTAGCTGATGCTCGGGCCCGTTGTAGCAAGAGGCCAGCGAGTCAAGGCCATTCGATCCACATCTCCGAAAGATGCTCACGGCCCTCAGGTATTCAGCTAGGTTTCAGGATCCCTAGCCCAGTAGCGTTCATCTTGGGATGCAGTATTCTTAAGGCACCATTCTGGGACGCCCCTGCCACCTTTTGGACCATCTCGGTTGTCCGGTCGGTTGTTCGAATCATCTGGTCCGGGTGGTGGTCCGATCGCCGGCCCGTCCCTATGGTCCAGTCGGCGGTCCGGAGTGGCATGACAGCAAGAGCTGAGAGTGCAGCGAGCCCCACATCTCTCCACTCACATTTGAGAGGCACACCCTCCGCCCTGCAAAACAGTGGCATCGAATCATGCTGCGGGCAGTCTGCTAAATTGTGCAGCCAGCAGGAACAGCGGCACGTGGCGTTTGGGTCGGGTCTCGGCCGGTGTCCCGTCGTTCTGTTCGGTGACTGGCCCGTCGTTTCGGTCGGTGTTTTAGTCGGGGTCCCAGTCCGGTCGGTGCGCCCCCTTCCGTTGGTACCATGGCGATGGGTCGGTCGTGTCTCATTCGTGTGCGGGTCGTGTGTGCCGTCGGTGTTGTGGTCGGTCGTGGTAGTTGTCACGGTCGAGTCTCATTCGTGTGAACGGTTGGTGTCCCACTTGACGTGTGTTATCGAAACACATGTGTGTTTATGAGTGCCCATGCGTACGTGCTGTCCCAGTTTTGTTCGGGCGTCCCGGTCGGTGTCCCAGAAAGCGTCCCAGTCCATATCCCTTTCAGGATTCCTGTCGCTGTCAGTGTCCCTCCTTGCGTTTGCTGCCTTACCCACAAGGAGATCTTGGATCCAGATGCAGCTAAGCAGCTGCATCTAGCCAGCGTCTGTAAAATGCTTCTCGCAGAGAAGGTTGCGTATAATGCGTGCACTTACACATTGGGAACTGGAACAGGGGACTTATCCCTGGCTCGGTACCAATCAAGAGCTGCGTGGGAGATGTTCGAAGGTCCTGAATCCGTGGTTTAGTTAGCCTTGCAGAGTCAGGTGGGAGTTTATTGACAAGTCAGTGAGACTACCAGCACATGCAATTGGCCCGAAGCTCCCATCGGGCATACTGAGAGTGAGGGGAACGGATTCCACGGAGCTCACATGCAGTCACATACTGAGCCCAGCTGCGGCAGGATTATCCGCACAAGGGAGACGTATAGATGCGGGTGTGAGCAGAGCCTTTGTGTTGCGACAAAGAAAAACAGGACGTGCGCCACTGCAGTGTCTTGAAATGCCACACAAGAGCTGGACCCCTCCCCCTCCCCCTCCCCCTCCCCCTCCCCCTCCCCCTCCCCCTCCCCCTCCCCCTCCCCCTCCCCCTCCCCCTCCCCCTCCCTCCCCCTCTCTCTCTCTCTCTCTCTCTCCCTCCCTTCTTGGAGACTTGCGAAGCTCAGGGAGGTTTGCCATCAAGTACTGTTGGCTGTTGTTTCGTTGTCTTTTCAGGTTTCTTGCTTCCAGGTTCAAGACGCCGATGTGCCATCGGCATGATCACGTAGTGGCAATGTGCGGCAATGATCGCCAGAAGCGAAAAGTGCATTTTGACAGTGGGAGATGGAGACCTGTCCTTCTCCTTGGCCCTTTCACGGGCCCTTGCGTCCGATGCATCCGTGAAAGTCATTGCAACGACGTGGCTCACGCGAGAGGAGCTTGCAGACCGGTACCATTCCGCCGGCGGAGCTCCTGGGCAGCCGTTGGGCACATGTGGAAGTTCTGCCGGGATGGGGCTGCTTTCAGTTCGCTGGCTTTTCACGTTGTCTTGCGCAGTAACAGCGCTTCTGAGATAAATTGGTCTCCGAGGTCCGCGAGGAACTGCTGCACCGAGGTGCGGTGGTCCTCCACCGCGTGGATGCTTGCAGCCTGGCCTCTTCTCTCCCTCCGACCACTGGGTGCCCCATGGCCATTATCTTCAACTTCCCACATCTGGGTGGTGTCGCTGACGATGGTCACGAGCCCGAGAGCTGCTAGCCTGGACTATTGGCAAGTGAGAGAGTCGGCGAGTCCTGATGAATCAAGTTAATGATGGAAAGATCAAAACCAACGAAGCGCATGTGTGCCTCCAAGCCAAGGTGCACATGTGAGGCAGCACAGAGCACTGCTGGCGCACTTCTTCCAGTCGGCTGCGAATCTGACGCAGGACTGGGCAATATTGGGCAGCTACGCCTGATGCAGTTCTCTAACTCTAATTCCATGTGTGGGTCGACGAGCCCTACAGGATCTACAAGGCGAGGTCCACGTGACGCTGTGCGGCGGCTCGGCTGCTTCATGTCTCCCCGAGTAGATTCACATAGATTCGCCAAAACTCTCAAGCTAACCAAAATAGAGCGCCGCGAGTCACACCGCAGGCGAGCAGCCGGGACTCTGGGCGTTGCAGACGGCTGCTGCTGCCGCTGGTATGCGGGAGCAGAGGCAGAGGGTTCCCTGCCCAACGACTGCATGGCAGTGCTGCCACGGTACTTGTAGCTACTGGTAGTGTCTATATCTCCGCCTCCACTTGTGGAGGAGATACGCGCCTGCGGCTGGCGACGCTCGTTTCTCATCTGCTGGGCCAGGTCTTGTCCATCGAACCATAGTATCTTGCTTTGGGCCGTCATGTGCTTCTGTGGTTGAAGCTTTCTCTTCTTTACGGATGTCGCAGCTCAGGATGACTTTGCGAAGGGTGTGTTTGATGGCTTGTGCCTCCAGCCTCCACAACCGGAGTGGCAGTGTCGCAGGAGGTGGCGGAATGGATCTCTGGGATTCGTCCACTGGGCAAGCCGCTACGGATACGAGCACAGGCGGCACGAGGGCGAACAACACATGAACATTAACAACTGCTTCACTTTCGTATTCGTGAAAACAACAGAGGAGGCTGCCCACAGCATTCCCACTTCCCCGACCGTCTGTCGCGTGTGCCTACAAGACTTCGAGAACAACGAGTCGTTGGAACAACACATGCGAACACCAGCCCTCCCCATCGGCGACGCGAGCACGCACCACTGCAGTGTGTGTGGGCGAGCTTTTGGTTCGAGCCGGGCACTGGAACAACATGCGCGGGCTTGCCAGAAGCCGGCAAAGCCCTTGAAAGAGTCTTCCGGCTACAGCGAAGTTCTTCGAGAAGGGCTTCCAGGGAACGTGGTTCGCATGGGAGTGCCCATAACATCGGAAGCGGGTTTGAGGCTGTCTCATTTGGCACGACAGTCTGACAAGCTCCGGCGTTTGTTGCCTTCAAAGGCAGCAGTGAAGCGCGCAATTGCGAGAGGTGAGCTCGTCTTGAATGGCGAGCATGTCGAAGAGACGCGAATACTGAAAGCTGGTGACCTAGTGACTCTCTGCTTGGACCGGGTGCGTGAGGCCTTGGATGCAACAACAGCAAGGGCCCGGAATGTCAAGATGGTGCTGCCCCGGGAGTCACTGGGTGCGTCACCGGGTGATGGCTGGCAAGTACTTCGCTCCGTATGTCCGGACGGCGTGGTGGTGGTGTGGAAGCCGGCTGGCATGAGAAGCCTGGGATTCCATCCTGGGACCCTGCAGTCATCCCTGCCGCTGTTGCCTGAATTGGCTGCCCTTGGTGCGAGGTTTCAACCCTTGAGCCGGCTGGAGATTGGGTGCTGCGGACTATCTTTGGCCGCCAGGTCTTGTTTGGCGGGCCGCACAAAGGCTTGTATTAAGTCGGGGAGTGGATCTGTGATGGCTCCGGAGCAAGGTTCCCGTGACCGACGAGGTGCAACAGCTCTTGATTGGCGGGCACCAGCCCGAGCGTGTATGCTCAGTCTTACCTTCGCTCCTCTTCTACCGTCGCCGAGTGGCCGAGGCTTGCTGCAGGGCGCGTGGTTCACACATTTCGTGCAACGCTGCACGGGTGGCTCAGCGAAAGATATGCGTACGCATGCTGAAGTCTCGTGAATGCTTTTCTGCTTGAGAGGTCGATTGGTAAGCCTGGGACGACGTTGACTTTGACTGGACAGGAAAGCAGGGGCTTCAGCTGATGCCAGGGTCAGCCAGGCTTTCTTGTTGCCTTTGTTTTCGTAAAGTTGTACGGAAGCCATTGGTTTGTGGTTCGTGTCGTGCATGCGACAGATACTGTAGCATCTGCAAGCGGCAGCAGTTTGTAAGCATTCGTGTCAAACGGATCTGTGGACAGACCTCGGAGAGGAAGCATGTCCCGGAAGTGATGGTCGAAGTTTCTTTCCTGCAGCATTCATCACGCAACGGTACGTGCTGCCTCACAGCATCCAGGACTGTTGGCTACTCTGTGTGCCTACACCTGCACGAACGCAGGCAAAACAAAGACTACAGACGCACATGCAAGCACATTTGAGATTTCCAAATTCAGGAAGACCGCCCGGCATGAGCAGCCCGAGAAATTTGCAAGAGGCGCGAGTCCTGAATGCCAACGTTCCCACAAGGTGGCGGCCACGAGGAAGCTTCTGGCAGTGAGGAGACGGCTCTGTAGTTACTTGTAGCACTTGAGCAGACTCTTTGGGCAGACCTCAAAGCCTAGACCGAAATCGAGATGTTTCTTTCGCATCACCTGCACGCAGGAGCTTGATTCTGCTGAGCAAGCTCCCATTGCGAAGGACAGACAGCGCGGTGTAAGAGAGATCTCGTCTGTCAGTCATGTCTGGGAGACCTACGTCGTCCGGGGGAAGCTTAGGCCTGCTCCTAGTTTCATCCTCCCCACAGAGCCCGTTGCAGACGACACGGGTGCCGGGGAGGCCACTCCCCACGCCCGAGAGTGGAAGTAGTGGGGCAACAGCCGCACATATACAAATGGCGGAATCAGTTGGGGATCGGATCGAAGAGCCGGGGCGGGTGGCGAAAGACCCGCATGATGGTGGCAACCCTGGTTCAGGGGATGCCTTCGGGGCAATGTGCGTCTTTGTGCCCGTCTGGGGCACGCCGGAGGAAGAATGGACGTGGGCAGTGACGTGCGGGTTTGTGGGCGACACGGCGGTGCCATGAACAGCAACCACAGGCTCTGCACCGACGGGGCGGCTGGTGCGATGTAGAGGACCACATACCACAAAAACAAAGCCGAGTCACTCGTGAGCCGGGGATAGAGGATAGAGTCGGATAGAGAAGACCAGTTGCTCCCAGCCAACATCCACCAGGGCCCGGGGGAGGGGAAGGAAAGCCCGGGGGCTGTAAGCATGTCGCCAGAAGCACGCAGAACACACTAACGCAGCGTCCCTGCATTTCCTTTCAGAAGTGTTTGGTCAGGGCAGTTTCACGTGCCCAAGGCTGACAACATAGTGGTCTGTCACGTGGCCAGGGCCCTTGATCTGATGGTCTTTCTGAATTTCCAGTTTCGGACCTTGTGATACACGTGCAAGGGCGGCTGGTTCCTGCGACCAAATCCAAGAATGCACACCTGCTCACTGCGTCAGAGAAGCCGACGCAAGGTAGTAATGTTTTTTTCTCGGGCCAAGGTGGATGTGCAGCACGAGACAACCAGCATCGTAGACCTGCAGGTTGTGGGTGCGGGAAGGTGCCTCGTTAGAACCTTAGAACTGGTCGAGTGTTTGCATTGCGGGTTCCAGCCATGCGAGCGGGACATGGAGGGACCATGGTTTCAATAACAGCATGGGCTCTGGAATCCATCAGCCTCGTGGTCGTGCTTGCTGCACTCCTCCGTCCCACATTGGGTAGTGTTTTTCTCCTTTTGCCTTTCGAGCCGTTTCCAAGGTGCTGTGGTGCTTTGTGTCACCTCATGCGACGGCTTCTTGCCTGAAGCGTGCACTGGCAGATGCCACGCTCAGCTCACGGAACCGGGGCAGCTGCAGAGGGTGCTCAATTTCTGCGCCAGGCAAGGATTCCCTGTCGTGGGTGACAGGCTTGCCAAGCGAGCTTTGTCACAACGAGGTCGACACCTCAGACTTTCTGCGCAGGTTGCCGTTTATGTGGGTTTGGAATGCCAGCTGCTTCTGTAATTTGGAAATTCGGACCTCGCTTCCGTGACCCTGATGATGAGTAGCATAGCCTGGGAACGGTCCGCGTCATGCTTAGTTTGAAACGGTACCTCTGGCATGCACGGGTAGCTAGAAAGCATGGGGACTCTCGCAGCTTCGCAGCAGAGGCAGAGGCCTCAGTGAACCAGGAGGCTGGCGATGCGGAATACAGTGAGCTAGCGATTGGTTTTGTTAGCGGTGTCAATGTGCTTGTTGACTGTGACACCGTGTGCGCATGCCTGTGTCGATCATCAGAGGCGCCAAGACTGGCAAGAGGAAGCTTCAGATTGAATGCGTCGGAATTTCCGCTTCCCACGAGGAGCTCCAAGTGTGAGAGCACGGAGATTAATTCCATCGTTCAAGACTCCAGAAAGGTGGGCAAGGCGACAGGTGCTGCTGAGATGAGAGTGCCTGTTGAGAGGACGGCAGAGAATTCCTCGACGTACGAATCTGCCGGCAGGGCCCAGCTTCTTTCAAGGGTGACTGTTCAGAGTCGGATGATGCGGAAAAACCTTTTGCACCGCACAAGAGGCACTTCTTCGGTTGCTGTTGTTTCTTTGGATGAATCAGTGCATTGCTGCGCAGGCTTTTTCTTTCAGGGCACCAATGCCGTTCAAACATCTCTACGCCGTAGGAAGATGCGTTTTCATATTCCATGGTGGTCATTCATCATGTCGGGTGCCCTGGGCCCGGACATGAGTGCCTGGCAGCAGAAAGTGTTCGACGAGGTGGCTAGGCGTGCATCGGAGCAGTCGAGGGCAGCAGAGCCAAAGCTCTTGTCGCTTTTTGATTCTGGCGATTTCCGTTCCCGCCTCAACAAGTGCTGTCCGTCCTTGGGGAATCTTCCGTCTGAAGAGCTGATGGAGCGGCTCTCCAAGCAGCTTGAGGTCGTCGAGGTTTGTTCTGGCTTCCCGGCCATGCATGACCCAGCTCAGATCGGAGATTCGGCTGGCATGTCAATCAGTTTCGGCTTGACTGGCTCCTTTTTCTTCAACGACTGGGAAGCCGTCTTGCTGCACTCGGCGAATCCACACAGCGTCTGGCATAAGATCGACGCAACGTACGTAGCATTTTTAGTTGAGTCTACCCTTCAAGAGGTCCTGGTGAAGAAGTGGTTTGGTGGGTGTTCAGGTATACCGTTGCCGGAACAGCGCTATTCACTGAACAAGTGTTATGGCACAGCCGACCTGAGCTTCATAATGCGCTTCACAACAACAAGTGGGATGCTGTTTCTTTCCATCTGGACAGCGATCCACCAGATGGGTGCATCTTACTTGGAATCAACTGCTGGGACGGGGGTAGTCCCATGTCCTTCACGTGCGCCACTGGTTACTCAAGTCCACGTGGCAGACGGGCAGTGCCACATCCATGTCAGGAAGAACAACACCGAAGCTTTCCTGATGCAAGACCGGGCCGAAACCTTTCAGTATGAGCTAAAGCCATTCCGCATGCCTGGTGCGCCGTCAACCCTCATCGAAGCAGGTGAGCGGCCTGTATATTCCACGGTCAACTTGAACATGATTGATGCAGGGAGCCCGCTTTATGGTGATGTCTCTGCAGTATTCTCGAACAAACACATTTTGAACAGCACCTTGTTGTCTTCAGTCGACAGCGGTTTTTTTCAGCAGTATTGCATCAATGGAAAGACCTTTCCCAGGTTGTCGTACAACTGTAGTGCAGAGACAGCGTTCGAAGGGCTGGGCACATTTCTGCACAACAGGCACCTCTTCGTGGAGAACATGGAATTCTGGAAGTCCGGTGGCACCGTTCAGTCTGTATTCCAAAGAGGGCAGCTTCCTTGGGGCTCAAGTCCTGTCCCCGGCCACGCCTTCCTAAACTATTTGGAAGCTACGCACCTGGGCAAACTGCGCTATCCTGAGGCAATTCGGTTCTTGATAGGCACGTTCCCCGTGCTTTTTGGCACCGAGCTTGGGGCGAACTTGCGGACCTGGGCCAAAGACCGCGGCTGGGTATTGGTTTGGGCGCTTGGCCTGAATGATAAGGCTTTGTTGCATCCGACGCGAGACTTTGATTTTAGTCCACTGCTGCAAGACGTCGATTTCAAAGTGAACGGTCGCATGATTGATCCGATCGTCCTGAGACACACGACGGCAGCGGTAGGCTCACCGGTGCAGCATGACGTTGTTACCGACTTCGAGAAGCTTTGGGCGGAGGTGGGTGGTTTGCGTGGACAGAGGCAGCTGACGAACCAGACAATTGCAAGCAAGTGGCAAGAAGCCATGCTGCACTTCCCACAGCTGCTGCTTCGCCCTCTGCTTGGCGGGGACTGCTCGAAGCAACTGCGCAATGCTGAGTGTGTTGGGGTCACCCTGGATGGCCGCTGCGTCTGCTATGCCAGCTCGCAGGAGCCAGCAACCCAAAGTGTTGCGGTGTAGAGCAGTTTGCGGCAAGGAGGCATTATGTTAGCCACAGGAGTCGTTGCAGCAAGCCAGATCCAGGACCGTTGCACGCTAGTGTAGCAAAGCACCGCAAAGCTTCCAGCGTATCGACAGGATACGGAATTGATATCTGCCTAGCTCGACGGTTCTCGGATCACAGAAGAGCAGATCGACGGAAGAAGCCCCAGGAGCACATGATCCGGGTGTTTCCAGAACTTGGAATGCAAGAACTCCTCAACGAAATGCTTTGCCGTTTGTTGTTCGGCCCGACCAACTACCTTGGCTCAAGATGCACGTTGTTGTTCAGATATCATGAGCCCTCATCACCCACAAATCATGTCCAAAGTAGTGTGCGCCATTCACAGCCGACAGGTAGGTCGGCATGAGCCCCAGCCCTCAACCCTCAGCCTTCACCCGCCGCGGAGTGCGGCAACACCCTGTCTCAGCCCCAAACTTGTCCTCTCGATCCTCTCTTGTCTGCACTTGTGGCCATCAGCCCTAGCCGAATGCTTCCTTATTGTGGACTTGTGTCGTAAACTCCTGAGTGGAGCTATGCTTCCGGATCCCCCTAACCCGGCGCCGGCGGTGCCGCGCACACAGGCTGGGTCCCAACATGTCAGCACGTGGATGTGGGTTGCCGTCCCTAACCCGGCCGCTCGAGGCCAGCCAAGCATGCCGGCAAGGCTGGATTGAAATCTTCGATTCTTGAGCCAATCTGCTCCGTGTGCCGCAAGACATGCCAAGACCCTCTGTGTGTTTGTGGAAATGCGCTCGATGCGCAAGGTGGGGTGACGCCGCCTACGCAGACACCCAGCCAGACGGCACCGATCCGACATCAGGAGCCTGACAAGCTGAGACGTATCTCAACGAGCTGCCATTGCCTTCACTGTCTTGCGAGCTAGCCTGGGGCTTCAGCGCATTGCAGGACCCGAGCTTGCTCTCAGAAACTTGGCGGCACGAAAGCACAGAGTCGCGGCAGAATGTGGGCCCGTAGCGGACCCATCTCAGCACGAAGCTGACAGGCAAATTTAACTTTCACACGAAGAGATGGTTGGGTCGGGTTGGCTTCGAAATTTCGGCGCCCGAGATCGCCCGAGCCCGCGCTGAAGATCCAATGCCCTAATTGCCGAGGATGCCAACGAGGTTTGTCCAGCCACAACCCAGCACTCCCAACAATGATCAAGAAATCGGTTGGTCTCCGAAGTTGACAGATAGCAACTAGAATGTGCGCAGAAAGCCTCAACCTGCAGAAAACTGCAGCTCGTACCACTACCCGACAGTCTGTCCTCTGCAATCGAGGGCTCAAAGACTGCAAAGACCCAGTGACGTGGAACCGAATCAGCTGAAGAAACGACATCGTGCCTCGGAGACATGGGCTTCTGGCGCGTGTCCTTGTTTTCAAGCCCTTTCTGTAGGCGAGGGGTCCAAATGGTGCTTCGTGCTTGCCTCCGCGACCATAGGACAGTCTCATGGACTCGTCGTCTGGGCATGTGCCGCCATCCCCAACCGCTTCAGTGGCGTCGGCTGCTGGCGTGCCGGGCTGAGCACAGATTGCGGCCACCAGCGTAGTGATCGCATGGATGTGCCATGCCTTGCTGATTGCAGTCTGCTGGGGAGGTGGCAACGACTCCGGTGGCCACACCGGTGGCGACGCCGGCAACGGCTGCTCCGACTCGCTGCTGCACAAGAACGTGTGATAATCCGGCAGACTCGAGACTCGAGATGCACAGCAGACGACATGCGAAGGCTTTGCAGGGCCAGAGTATCTCATGGAGCGGCGGACCCGACACTTCGTAGTCTAAAGGCAGCCTGTTGTCACTGAGAATGCCACCATGTCCGTCCAGGAATCCGCCCCGGGGCATTTCAGGCCTCTCCTGCTGCGAGCTAGGCAGTCTGGGTTTATCGCAGTACCGGGAGCAGCCGCAGCTGTTCTTGACAGGCACGATGTCTCCTTTCCGGCATACAGCATGCCACAGTAGGATGTTCCGTCTAGTGGCTGGAAGTGTGCCGAGGGGCCATTCCTGTCATGTTTGTATGTGCTTGGAAAGGCGGGGTGGTGCCTTCGCAGACTCCTGGCCAGCCGGCACCGGCGCCACTTCGACATCAGGTGAGGTCTCGACGCCTGTCTGCTGCCACATGCTGCCAAATGGCACAGAAATCCGCCTGCTCAGTGTGCGGCATCTGCCTGATATTGCCTGATGCCTTAATCTCTCGCGCATTATCTTGTGATTGTGCAGTCTGCAGGAACCCAGCTTTCTGTCAGAAACTTGGCGGCACGATCGCAGGCGAGGGGTCCAAATGGTGCTTCGTGCTTGCCTCCGCGACCATAGGACAGTCTCATGGACTCGTCGTCTGGGCATGTGCCGCCATCCCCAACCGCTTCAGTGGCGTCGGCTGCTGGCGTGCCGGGCTGAGCACAGATTGCGGCCACCAGCGTAGTGATCGCATGGATGTGCCATGCCTTGCTGATTGCAGTCTGCTCGGGAGGTGGCAACGACTCCGGTGGCCACACCGGTGGCGACGCCGGCAACGGCTGCTCCGACTCGCTGCTGCACAAGAACGTGTGATAATCCGGCAGACTCGAGACTCGAGATGCACAGCAGACGACATGCGAAGGCTTTGCAGGGCCAGAGTATCTCATGGAGCGGCGGACCCGACACTTCGTAGTCTAAAGGCAGCCTGTTGTCACTGAGAATGCCACCATGTCCGTCCAGGAATCCGCCCCGGGGCATTTCAGGCCTCTCCTGCTGCGAGCTAGGCAGTTTGGTTTCGCACAGGTTTTGTTTCGTGCTTAGGCTTAGGTGCAGTGCAGGAGGGATCAAGCCGAGAGGGGCTGCAAATCATGTCCTGTTTCAGCGCTGTAACAGTTCGGTATTCGCAACTTGCAGCTCCCTCCGCGACACCATCGGAGTGCTCCACGGTTGTCCGGCATGGGCAGTGCCCGAGCAGCAGATGTTTGGGATGGAAGGTGCCGTGGACAAAGGTCGACCGTTCGGTCCCAAATGCTGTAAACTGAAGGTCTGTCCAAACTTCAGCTGTGTCGGTTGAAGCAAGTGGCATAGGTTCTTCGCTGCCACCGGGCTCGTGCGGTCCAGTGGTGCAAAGCCGAGGTTCAACACCACGGCTTGCGACGAAGCAACAGACGAAGCACGGCCGGGTTTGACAATAGTCGTGCGCAACATCTGGATGATTCATTCTACCAGTAGCAATTTCTGGGTTACAGTTCAGTCTCATCGTATTTCGAGTTGGCAAAACCCCTCGCAGTGAAAAATCCAATCCGAGGATTCGGACCCAGATGTTTCCTCATGGCATGGAAGAGGTCAACAGCAATCTTTGCAGGCAGCCCACGTCGTCTTTGGTTTCTTTGGTCTAGGGTTGGGTTATTCTGGTACTAGCATCAAGCTTGCCAGGTGTGAGCACATAGTCAAGATATACTCCCGTGTTTTTATCTGTTGAAGTATTCCACCGTCTTCGTCCAAGCCGAATCTCAGGCCTGACCATGTCGACTGTCTGAGACAGGGGTGTGCCGTGATGACCGGGGATCGAGCGACGCCTTCACATGTCATGATCGGACGGCAGCTTACGCATATTGTGTGCAATCTTTCCAGCCTGTCTCCCAGATTAGATCTTTTGTTAGGATGTCTTGGCCTTCCTGGACCAGAAGGAACGGGAGGCCATTGGAGAGGATCTTGCACGTGATTCATGGTGTGCATGCCGGATGAACCTGATTTGTCGAGGTTTTCGGGGTTGCCGAAGCTGTAGCCAACTTGAATGGTCCAGAAGTATACAGGCACTCTGCCCCCAGGTCAGCATGATCTTTTCCAAGACGCGGGCTCAGCCTCTTGGATGTTACGATGCGGCCAGCGATGCGGCCGAAGCTTGTAGGGTAATGCTAGCATCAAGCCACCAAGCAAGCTGGCAACTCCAAAGTGTCTCACCTCAACCGACCACGAACCAATGACCTCGCTTGGCTTGTCTGAGTGTGAGCGCCGAAAGGGATCGGCAGTTCATGGCTTTGACTGAAACATGTTCCAGGATATTGCAGGATTCTGAGGGTCTCTGCTACAGCCCAGGCTGCTGCAATCCATGCCCATGCCGCCAAACACGGATGGATCTGGCTCAGTTCCGCGGCCGTAGCACCGTTAGACGTCCATGTACCTTTGCATGATGCAATGATGCACGCTTGCGAAGCCTGTGACAGCCAAGGCCGTGACGGCTCGCTCTGACGAGGCCAGTTTCAAGCCTCAAGTATTTCAGTGAAAAGTCAAGTTGAGGATGTTTTCTCGGACTTGCCCTCAAGTTCCCGTCTAACGCATGTGACAGTGCCCAAAGAGTTGGCAATACTTCATACCAGCTTATTGCACAATTTGTACGTGGAATCTTGCTCTGATCCGGGAATGGCTGACCATGCAGCACAGATGTCTAGAGCCGTCTAGCAACGGGCAGATTGCAGCTCTTCTGTTTCACGCCCTGTCTGGGCTCCAACCAACATGACTTGCTAGTTAGGCAGGGCTGGACGGGTCTTTTCGGCATGATCTCAATCGCGCTGATGCTGTTGCTGTGGAGGCCACAGTGAGGTGGAGGGAATTTGGCGAGCCGTTCTACCGCGCGATTTCCCTGCGGCTTGGCCGCATGGTGCCTCCAATCTACACGGTCTTCATACGCTTTTAGAATAGGTCAGGGCAAGTACAGCACCATCTCAGCATCGGGAGACTTCCGGCTTATGCAGCCAGTGCTTGCGTAGCACCATCAAGCGTGCCTATCAAGTTGAAAATAATGTCCGGAGAGGTTGCGTATGTTCAGGCCGGTCAATCTTTGTAAGCAATCTATTTCTTTCGGGCCCTGTGCACGGATGACTTAAACAGTAGAGATCGTACCATAACCCGCCCGCTGCTACTGCGATGGCTTCCGTAGCCGCGCCTTGCGGCGAGTGCTCGCTGCAAAAGGCTGCCCGGTTCGCAAGTTGGAGAGAGATGTTGACCTCAATTTCAATCTCCACGAGCCCCTAGCTGCCCTGGACAGCTCAGCGGCCACCGTGATAGCTTCTTCCAAATGCCTTTCTCTTTGAAGGCTGCGTGGCAGTGTAATGGCCGGCTGGAGACCTGGACGCGGCCATCTGCGAAGATTTGTCCAGTTTGTGTGGATGATGCTACGTATGCGTGCATACTTGAGTAGAGCGGGTTCTTCATGCCGTTGCATGTCTTAGAGGACAGAATTGAAGCACTTGGCCTTTGACAAGTCGGGCCTGAGATTGGGTGAGTCTCAGCTGAACCACGGGCTTGATCTGCAAGACTGCTGCATTGCGCCCGATGCCCGGCCTGAAGGCTGTTCTTTAGGTTCCTTGTGTCCTTCGAAGTGCTACAAGCGGGGCACAGACTCCAGGACAAGCTGGTTGCTAAGTGGCAGCAGCTGGCTATGGCTTCTGTCCGCTTGCGTTCTGACGGCCAATCTTTGGATGCACCGGGCCCGAGTTCAACGCACCTTTATGTTGGAATTCTCAGATCAGCCAAGCTCGCTGGAGGTTGTTTTCGCATCAGCGGACCATTCCATCTTCGATTTTGCACAGGCAAGGACTCCAATTTGCTTGTCTGGCCAAGCAACAAGAGACGTAGCCTGCAACAACAACGGCTATAAATTGAGTCGAAGAATCTGAGCACACCCTTTACGATGTGATTCGCGCCGGTCGCTTCCGTTGTGCCAAAGATGGTGTCATATGGTGTCATGTAAAGTCATGCCAAGGGCTTGGGGCGGAGCATGGCGGAGCTTGAATGGCTAAGAATGACTGCGAGTTCGAGCCTTCGAGCCAGCACCAGCCCGGTGTCACTGTGAAAGGGTTATTCGGCTACTAGTACCAAGTGGGCAGGTTTCGGTGCCAATGGACGCCTCTGCGACTGCCTTGCTTCAGGCGCCTCGCATGAGCTGCTTTTGAGGTTGTGAGGGGAGAAGATTTTTCCATGTCAACCTGGCTTAGGTGCAGGCCAGGCCTTCGCGGTTCAGATTCAGGATGTTTCAGGCAGTAGAGGCTGGTGCACCGAGTCGCGCCAGACTCAGGCGATCCATGCTGCTCAGCTTCCGGTGCTGCCAGGCTGATTTTGGACCAGGCATACTCGGCCTGCTTGCGACTGGCAGACTGTATGGGGTTCAGCATGCTCATGCATCACCACCACGTCGTTAATTATGCCGAGGTTGCGGGTTTTTCAGGGTGATGCACGCGCTTGAAACCTTCTTCATTTCCATGAAGGAGCCCAAGTCCTCCATGATAAACCAAGGAGAAGCATCTCCCAGACGGTTCTGACATGGCCAATTCGGGCTCTGCACCCGCGTCTAACCTTCAAGGAGGCTTATTGGCGTCAAGACTGGCATGAATGCAGAGGGGCGGCATACGCGGTTCGAAGCCTAGCGCACGCCAATTGCTTGCCAGGTCTACTGGCTCCACTCATCGATTTCCAATGCCTTAGAGGTCTGGGTGCTTGCAATGCTGCTTGAGTCGGAGCATTGCGGGGATTCTGCGGGCAGCAACGGGCATTCTAGGGGCATCTGCGGCTTGGAGCAACTGCCGGCTAGGGACGGTCGCATGTCCAGGTCCTATTCGGACTGACCTTTTTTCTCACGCTCCATAGCCGCCTCTACTCCTCTGCCAACGGACACTTGGACCGCAAACTGTCAGGTCCTGTCGATTCTGAGCCTCCGGTTGCTTTCGAGTTCAGAAGCTGACCGCGACTTCCTGAAGCTGAGGGGTACTATCTTCTCTCATGAAACTATGGGAGGATATCCAGAATATCTTTGCAGGAATGCGGTTACGAGAGTCGCATGGCAGACTAGTGATGTCAGTCCTGCCACAGTCAGAATCATGCACAGTCGCTTGGCTGCCGGTCTGAGCTTGCTAGTGTTGTCCAACAAGCCTGCGAGGATCACGGACATGATCTGTGATCCGTGGCAGGAGAGAATCTGTCTGAATGGCCGTGGCTTGCAAGCTGGTATCTGGTTTTGGAGAGCTTCCGAGGCAGCAGCGGGGGCAAGTGCCGTGTGTTGCATGTCCGGCCTGGGCGTTCATTCAGCACTTTACACCCACGCCCACACCACAAAGCACGGGTCTGGAAAGCACTGGAGCCCCTTCAATTGCTTCACTCAAGGGGAGGTGGGCGGGGGGGGGGTGGGCTGGGCGGGAAGGGTTTGGGCAGGCATTGGAGCCTTTTCTTACTTCACTGCATTTCTGCGCGAGGTGAACGGGAAGGTGAGCAGGCAAGGCGGGGGGCGGGGTTTGGGCAGGCACTGTTCAATTACCACTTAAAGGAGGCAGGTAGGCAAGGTGGGCAGAGTGAGCGGGCAAAGGGCGGGAGGGATTTGGGCACAACAACTACTTCACGGCAAGCACTGGGAAGCAGGCACGGGTAGCGATTCTGCGCGGTGGGCAGGACAACGTGAGCGGGGAGGTCGGAGAAAACGGGGCGGGCGGGCGGGCGGGCTAGGCGGGAAGGGTTTGGGCAGGCGCTAGAGCCCCATCAATTACTTCACTTAAAGCAGAACGGGAGCCTGGGTGAGGCAGGCAGGCAAGCGGGGGACGGGCTGAGCGGGAAGGGTTCAAGAGGGTGGGCGAGGTGGCGAGATGGGCGACGGGGGGGGGGCGGCGGGGGCAGCACGGGGAGCGGAGTGGAATTCTGGGCGAGGTGCAGGGGGTGCGGGGGAAACAGGGGAGAGGGAGGAACGAAAGCAACCAGGAAGGCGGGGGTCGGCGGATATATATATATATATATATATATATGTATATTTATACGCATAAGCTTATACACTTACATATATGTCATTTGGGTTTTGCCATTGTCGATGCCTGATTACCTGCTGTTACCATCAGACTTGCTGACACAATTCCTCCGTGCTGCCCGTTATACTTCTGTGGACTGCTCGTGCTGCTGCTGCCACTGCGCTTCCTTCTATGGTTCTGCTGAAGGGCAGGGGGGAGCTGCTCGAACAAACACTGATAAATCATTGGTTCCTGTTGATTCTACCCATCACTGCCAATCACCCCATTTCCGCTTCCGTGCATCGGCTGCTTGTTAGCCTTGCTTTCTTCATCCTTCCTGTAGAATACGTTGCATGTCGATGTCCTGAAGATGGATGGCAGGCTATGGCGGGGGCTTTCTGATTCCATTGACAATGCCGCTTCACCTTTGCCTCCTGCTCTTAGACTTCCATGCCGACTCTTGTATCTGATGCTTTCGGGGGTTTGTCGTTTCAATCCTTGTTGCCTTGGGGGTGGCACGTGGTGTTTAGTTGTACTCAAGAAGCAAAGACCAGGTTGCTGAATCAATGTACGTTTGAACCTCTGCACCTTCAGCAAACATCTTGATTGATCTTATGTACGCATGCCGTGCCAGCACCTGAGCTGTCCGCTCTGCGTCACTGCAGCCCAGGATATTCTCATATTGACGATGTTCTTGCCCCACGTCTTCCTTCTGTGGCATTCGGTGACCAGCTTCATCGTCGCCGTGCAGAAAGCTGTAGCCATATTCCTGAACTTGACGCGGGGCCGAGCCAAGGGCTCCAAGAAGGATTGATCGATTAGCTTATTAGTGGAATGTTTAAGTTCTGCTTTTAAAGTGATGCGGCCAGCAAAAGCCTGCCAATCAAACACATCTGACTCCAATTCCGCAGCTGCGCGAACAGGGCCTTGTTCACCTCGTGCAACGGGAAGCCGACACATAAACTCCAGTCCTGAATAGGATGGTCTTCTGTCTTCTGCTTGTGACTGCTGCTGCCATGCCCGGCTCCCTCTCGCAAGGCAGCGTCAGCGCGAGAAGGAGAATCAAACTCTTCGGGAGATGGCCGCTTGCTGAATCCATACGTGCATGTTCTATGTTTCCCCGCTGCTTCACCTGAATGGGGTGCGCCATGTTACACCGCACCCAGCAGCCAGGTCGCTCTGAAGAAGCTACAGCTGGAGAAGCTACTAACAGCACTTCGCGCAGGCCGCACCGAAGCGGATGCTGTAAGTGCTTTTGAGTCTGTCAAGTGCGCCCATGCCCATCCTACCCCTGAAGCAACCTCAGCCGAGGCTCACAACCTGCCAAGGCGGTCTCGCGCTGCCCCCAATCTTTGCTTGTGCCCGTGCCGGTCGTTCGGGCCACCTGCAAGATTACGTGTAAGTCTGCCGCCTCGAGCGGAAATTCGGCTTGTCGTCTTGCTTTCCTCTACAGAGCAAGAGTAAACACGCGTTTGTTCTGCCACCTAAGGCCCGTCGGACCACCGGCAGAGACCGAAGGCTCCCCTCTCTCAGGCGAAGTGGCCAGGATTCCTCTGATAAACCTGCTCTGTTTCAGTCTGTCGCTTGAAAGCCGAGTCATTGTCAATGACGTCAAGGGCAAGTATAAGATGTCCACAGCATGTAGCTCAGGTCTCTAGTCCGACTCTATGCCCTATGCTTGCTGACAGGGGCAGTTGCTTCCACGCCCCCGGTGATGAGTAGCGGCTGTGCCACACCAGCGCGGCAGTGCCAGGGCATCACTTGGTCTTTCTGGTGTGTCTGTTTTGCGGCTCTGGGCCGCGACAAAGACGTGCATGCCTCATGCGGCTGATAGCCCTGTTTGAAGCCTTCGGTGCCTGCCCATGACGTATCGATGTCTACGTTTTCCGGCCTTTTGGTTATTGAGGTTGCAGCAGGAACTGCATGAAGTGTCTTCTCGCCATCAGTACACTGCAAGGTTTGGGCCCGGTGTGAGTATACAACTACGGGAGATGCGTAAAGTCGGCCAGGCGCAAACTCCCTGGCTGCCGGTTTTGGCCGTGTTCAGGATCATCCCATCTTGCCGTTGCTGCAAGCCTTGCTTGCTTCCTGAGGCAGCCTTGGATTCCAGCGACTTGGGCAAGCACTGCACCATACTGCGCCAGAGCGTGCCGAATCCCACTAACACTTCAGATTTTGCCAGTATCTCGCCCGAGTGTCCGGGTTGCAACAATGAAAAGTAGTGGGAATCAGCTCAACATCGGAGCGGGCATCCTTTCCCTGCCGTGCAGTCTCGCCGGATGATTTGCGACAAGCTTGCAGTTTCGTGGACTGCTTTTCCTTGAAGGGCTCCCCATGTTCAAACTCGCATGTTGCTTCTGTCGAGGTAGCACAGCCGTCTGGGCCGCCACCCAGCACTCCAAACTTTCCGGCAGCACCAAGCTACTCGTGCAGCATCTATGAGGAACGAATGCTAGCCGAGGATGCTTGGATTCGGTAGTTGCAAAGAACCTCGATTCCTGGCTCTGCGAGTTTCAAGCTTCCGACGAAACAGTGGCAGTGGGAGGAAAGTGGTGTGCACTGCAGTTCTCGGGGCACAAATCGCAATCTCGTGGCTGGTCGCTGGGCTGCGTCTGTTTCACGGTTTAGGCCCGTCGACGCCGAACTCGCCAATTCCGTTGGACTTTGAGTACGAGCGAGGAGCCTGCCAGCATCGTTGGCGTGGATTCTTTAGAAGACGTAGTTGTTGCAAATGGATTCGATGCTGAGCCTCCAAGATGCGAAGATATACAGCCGTTTTCGACTGTCTCGTTGTGGAGTTGTGGAGAGGACCTTCGGTTGCAAGCCTTTTGGCTACGGAAACGGATAGCGCAACTCAGTCGGGGACCAGCAGCAGAGGTGCAGGGAAGTGTCAAAGCTTGCTGCTCGTGCCAGTAGTGCCCCGTTTGATGGAACCATACTTGGAAGGCCTTGGCTCGGAAAGGAGGCTCGTGGATGACGCGCTGATGCTCGGCTCTGCAAGTCTGCAAGATGCTGGGCGCTGGAAGTTGGCGCCAGGTGCAAGTAGCTAGGTAGGTAGCCAGAGTGGTTTGCACGTGTGTGCATGGTGTGCACTTCTGCTAGTATGTGTGATGTGTGTGTATATATATAATGTCTATGTATATAGATATATACATATATACATGTACGTCTATGACATGTAGATGGTTGCGCCGCGGCGAATTTAGTGCTGCTTTCTGTGTTGAATGGTTAGGTGCTTGGAACCTTTATTTGATCATGCTCTGGTACCAAGATGGCTGGGGCTTTGCTTCTGGATAAGTGTGAAGGGTTTCAATATTTGCATTTGGGTCTGGAAGTGCAGTCGTCGTCAGTTGTGGCATGCACTTTACGTTTGCACATGTAGCATGATTTCTTTAGCACTCAGGTGGGTGTCATTCATAGTCAATACGACATGCATGCATCGTGCTTGCATGCGGTAGCGCCCGAGCTCTTTCAACTTCGGCAAATTGTAAGTACATGTGGAATCATTCCTGATGTTGGCTTAATCTCTAAGTGATTGTGGTTGAGTGTTCGTCCTGGCGGAGTCGTAGCAGGCCAGTTGCAAAAGACCTCCCCTCAATATGGTCTGTCCAGCATAGCAGCTGGGCACCTTCTCTTGCAAGATTAATTGGACAAGCTAGGCGCCCGAGCTGGCAAGTGTAGTTCAGCTTGCACGGTTGTAGCAACAGCACGTCGCAAGTGTTTTGCAACATCCAGCTTGCAAGGGTTTCTGTGTGTGGGTGCTTTTCTGCTAGGCACGAGTGTCAGTTCAGTGTACAAGGAAACCAGTCGGAGAAATCGCGGCACTGCGTCGCGATGAATTTGCAGCCAAGGATGATCCAGCTTGCCAGCTCTCTTTCCAGCAAGGCAGCTTTGGAGTCTTTGCTTTTTTGACCCATCGTGGGCCTGCCGGGCTTCCTTCAAAGAGATGTGCGACCCATGCGTCCAAACCCATACAGGGATCTTTGAACACCAGATGCTGAAGCCACGTGGGTCGCATCGTTGCAGGCAGATCCGCCTAGCCCGGTGCCAAAAGCAGTCCCTCGCGCACTCGCCGCACTTGGGGATCGTTCCTTATGATACAAGTGTTTCATGGAGGCTATATTATTGCAACCAAACATCCTGCTGCCTAGCAATATACAACGGAAGTCAGGGAATCCTGCAGTCGCTGGCCCTCGGCCAGGGAGTGCGGGAGAGGCACACAAGACATGCTGGCTTGGTTTCCTCAACCGACTGGTCCGAGGATTGATGCCGAACTCACTTTGTAGTTGAGGGTCCCTGTGTCTGTAGTGCAACTATGTTCCCTTGCTTCCTGAAATGTCGCCGAAGCTCCCACAAAAGTCCTTTTCAAGTCATGAGGCGAGTCAAACATGCACCGCAGCGACTCGGTCAGCTCTTCATCCGCAACTTGCCTTGGATGTCAATGTTCATCCGGACCTGGCAGCTTTATGTGGAGATGTTGGCATGCTCGGCTGTGAGTGCTGGCATCTTCTAGTAACCCGTACTACACGATAGGCGCAGTTTGTATGTACGGCGCCTCGGTTCTCACGTGTTCGTTGTTTTCCGCCAGGCTTTCTTTCTTGTGTCGATTTTTGGTGACTTGCATGTTGCCAGTTGTCCGTGTTGTGCTTCTGCGGAGCATGGCCCCTGAGGTCCCAATGTCCCAGATGTACAGGCCGAATGTGGATGGTCAAGGTGGGGCTGGGCTTCGTGAGGCCATGATCCCAAGGGGCTGTGCGAGGATGCGAACGGGCCTCAACATCGAGATGGCAGGTTAAGTCCTCATTGTCCATTGCTCGAAGTCAATGCAGAAGTACTGTATGGCCCTTGGAGCGGGGAGGCGCCGCCCGACGCTGATGCTGAGGCCGGAAATGGTCCAGATGTAGACATGTGTAGTCGTACTGCACAGCAGAACCGTGATGGCCTGTGTGGCTGGATGTGGAATCGAGGGCTTTGTGTCAAGTTTCTGCCAAGACTTGATTTGTGAGAGCCAGTCGCGGTAGCGACCGACAAGCATGAGCGTAGCTACCGAGCTAAACACTTCGCACTGCTTGGTTCTGGACTTCTTTAGGCCTTCTCCCCTGCCAGCTTTTATTATCCGAGCATGTTCCTGCCGGAACCACAACTTGAAGCTTCTTTCTTCAGCATGGGCGCACAAGGAACTCAGCGAAGAGGTCATCACCAGCATGTACCTAGTGCTGTGGAAATCGTTGGCGGTGGTGCTGGGATACTGTTTGACCTTGTCTTCCTGCAGGTCTGACCTGGTTCTGGCAAGCCAAGCGTTGCTGTTAATTGCACATGCTCCCCCGATCTAGCGGAACTAGGCTAAAGCATCATGCCAGACAGCAGAAAGTTTGTCTTCCGACAGCCACACGCACGCCCGGCATGCCTCGTTCTTAGTTGCGTTCGACAATGGAGTCACACCTGCTCAAAGCTTGCTTCGTCTAGCTGTCGAGCAGCTCGGTTTCACGACCTCAGGATTGCCTAGGGCATCCTAGGGTCATCTTAGTCATGCCTCCTTCACGAAAGAATGATTGCTCAAACTCCTAATCTCTCTTCACCCGGAAACATGGTTTGTAGGCCCGGCTGTTAGCAAAGATGTGCTGAGTGTAAGTACAAGGCCAACGCTTAGGAATGTAAAGTGTGGAGTCTTGCTGTTGGATGACACGCATCCATGCGAAAGTCACCAGTATTGGGCCGAGCATTGATCGTTTTCTCTCGGGGACATGTTTGGCGTCCTCTCGTTGTTGAGAAAAATGCGCGGATGGTGGGCGGACTTAGCCGTGCTAGCTGATT